CCGGTTTTCCCGCATTTTTGGTCACGGAAATCCCGATTCTCGTCGACCCCCTTAAGAATAAAATGAAACGCTACCTAGTCTCCAATATTCTGGCGCTGGATGGAGCCAAGAAGGAGTTCATACTGGCGTCACAGTCATCAAAAATCCTCTGACAAACCCCCAAATTCTAAGAAATACCGATTTTCGGCTATATCAAAGCTATTTTGCCATCGTGAAACCCTGGGTTCGTTTTCTTAGCGACAATACCTTCGCGCTTATTTATCCGAGAAGCGAGAATACTAGATTTGTTGATAATCAATGGGACGGTCAAATTTTGCGACTCGCCAATGATGGGGAACGTCGTGATTTTCTAGCGAACGGTGGCGTGTACGACCCAAGTGATAAGACAGCAGAACTTGTGATTCAAATTTTCGAAATCAAGGAAGACTTCTCCATCAAACTTCTGCGAGCGAAGCATATTTCGAATTTCTCATCTGATTTTGTTGTTATTTGAATAAATACTGCTCATCAATAGCCATTAAATTTGTTGATTTATAATCTTGAGTGTTCAATTAAACCCCACTCCATATTTGTTTGAAAGTTAATCACGAGTTTTTCTGAGTTTTTAACTCAAAATCTTTCAGAATGAAATTGTAGGGTGTTGATATAAAATTTAGGGTTTTTCTATCGATCAGTCTGAGCGTCTCGATTTTTGGACTGAATATGTATTCAAGGTCGGAGAAAAAAATTTTGAAAAAATTTTTGAAAATTTTTTTGTCACGTGGTAGAAGCCCGAAAGTATTGAAAATAAATGTTTGCCCATAGCTTTTTTAACGTAACTTTGCGGCCTGAAAGAGAATTTTTTCTGGTTCGAATGGTACCAAAAACTTCCTGGTATGACCTCTCTAAGGTACAGGAAGTACCAAATATATGGTAAATTACGTAATAATTGATGACGTCATCAGCTGAAAAAGTACTTTTGGAGTGTAAAATTGCCATATTTTATCATTTAAATTGAACTTATATCAAAAACACTTTGATACAACAATAATATGACAAGATAAGAGAATTTAAAATTTAACCGATCAGCTGATTTATTACGTAATCGGCTAAAAATGGCAATTTTATTACGTAATTAACCATATTTTTAGTATTTTGTGTACCGTAGAGTGGCTATACCAGGAAGTTTTTGGTATCATTCGAATCAGAAAAAATTCTCTACCAGATAGTAAAGTTTCGTGTGAAAAAGTATGGGATGAGGCGTTTTTCCTATTTTCAGCCTTTTGACACGTGATTTGACAGTCATGACAAAAATTTTGAAAAAATTTTTTCGCCCGAATTTTCCTCCGCCATCGAAAATATAGACCCCCAGAAGGACAAGACGATTGGATCGCTAGAAAAAAACCAAAAATTTTATATCCTCACCCTAAAATTGTTAGCTTTACTTTTGGGTCTTATTCAGGGAAACGAGTTCTTCGAAAAAGAAAAAGCTGCGACTTTTTAAAGACTCGAGGAAGAAATCGCCGTGCTTCTACGTAAGAATCACAGCATTCGACTTTTGGATTTCAAAACTGTGATTCAGGTTGTGGGAAGAGAGACTACCCGGGAATCTGGAACGAGAATGTCTCGAAGAAACATGCGACTCCGAGGAATTAGAAGAGGTCTACGATGATTATCGAATTTCGCAGCCTTTCGAAGGCCATTTGGATCGATGTAAAGAGATTGTGGACTTATTGAGTGGGTTCTTGGGCGATTATTACCTTTCTTATTCATCTGAAAAATTCTTCGAAAATGTCTTATTGTAAGTTCTTACAGTTTGCCTCATCTTTAATTCAATAATTTAGAGTTCAGAATATAAAATAAGGTCTATCTTTTACGAAAAGCCCTACTACACATCTGGTGGTGATTAAGACACCTGGGCTAGGAAAGCGCTTTCAGCAATTGCAAACGGAATGACCGGGACCCCTCGGGAGCTCGTCAATCTGATTGAAAAAGTATTTGAAGGTAAAGAGAAAATGAAGCGTTTGAGCTCACTCATAAGTAGATATTCATCGATACAACAAATTTCATCAATGGGTTTTTGTCGGCGACTGTGACGAACATGTTTACTGCGGAAATTGTGACGACTAGTTTTATGACCTTCTCTTCCTCTGAATTATAGTTATAAATGAAATAAATTCTCTAAGCGAAAATTTTCATCATCGCAAGCTTCATCATTGGGGTTGCGCCAGTGGGAAAATGGACTTTTTTTGCACTTAACCTGGAGGGATGAAATTTTGTGGATATATTTCTGAGGTCCTAATCAAGAAAAAAATCAAAAAAAATTTTCGAAAAATTAAGGGTATAGGGGTCGAAAAATCGATTTTTTCATTCTTGCAAAATTAAGCCTGAGAAAACCTAGACTATCATTTAAAAAGCTCAAAAATGATTTTTTCGGGTCGAAAAAAAGTCGAAGCAAAATAATAAATCCGCAAATAAAGAAATTTAAATTATAAAAAATTTGGATAGAAACCATAAAAAAAGGATAAACTTGAATAATTTGTATTTTCACCTCGAATGGGTGTGGGTGGGGTTGGGGACATTACTGAGATTGATCACCTCAGAGTCCAACGCCGATCTCAAGCCCCTTAAATTTAAAAATCAAGGAACGGGGCTGAGACGGCCCGAAGGGCCGTCAAGCCCCTTAAATTTAAAAATCAAGGAACGGGGCTGAGACGGCCCGAAGGGCCGTCAAGCCCCTTAAATTTAAAATCAAGGAACGGGGCTGAGACGGCCCGAAGGGCCGTCAAGCCCCTTAAATTTAAAAATCAAGGAACGGGGCTGAGACGGCCCGAAGGGCCGTCAAGCCCTTAAATTTAAAAATCAAGGAACGGGGCTGAGACGGCCCGAAGGGCCGTCAAGCCCTTAAATTTAAAAATCAAGGAACGGGGCTGAGACGGCCCGAAGGGCCGTCAAGCCCTTAAATTTAAAAATCAAGGAACGGGGCTGAGACGGCCCGAAGGGCCGTCAAGCCCTTAAATTTAAAAATCAAGGAACGGGGCTGAGACGGCCCGAAGGGCCGTCAAGCCCTTAAATTTAAAAATCAAGGAACGGGGCTGAGACGGCCCGAAGGGCCGTCAAGCCCTTAAATTTAAAAATCAAGGAACGGGGCTGAGACGGCCCGAAGGGCCGTCAAGCCCTTAAATTTAAAAATCAAGGAACGGGGCTGAGACGGCCCGAAGGGCCGTCAAGCCCCTTAAATTTAAAAATCAAGGAACGGGGCTGAGACGGCCCGAAGGGCCGTCAAGCCCCTTAAATTTAAAAATCAAGGAACGGGGCTGAGACGGCCCGAAGGGCCGTCAAGCCCTTAAATTTAAAAATCAAGGAACGGGGCTGAGACGGCCCGAAGGGCCGTCAAGCCCTTAAATTTAAAAATCAAGGAACGGGGCTGAGACGGCCCGAAGGGCCGTCAAGCCCTTAAATTTAAAATCAAGGAACGGGGCTGAGACGGCCCGAAGGGCCGTCAAGCCCTTAAATTTAAAAATCAAGGAACGGGGCTGAGACGGCCCGAAGGGCCGTCAAGCCCTTAAATTTAAAAATCAAGGAACGGGGCTGAGACGGCCCGAAGGGCCGTCAAGCCCCTAAATTTAAAAATCAAGGAACGGGGCTGAGACGGCCCGAAGGGCCGTCAAGCCCTTAAATTTAAAAATCAAGGAACGGGGCTGAGACGGCCCGAAGGGCCGTCAAGCCCTTAAATTTAAAAATCAAGGAACGGGGCTGAGACGGCCCGAAGGGCCGTCAAGCCCTTAAATTTAAAAATCAAGGAACGGGGCTGAGACGGCCCGAAGGGCCGTCAAGCCCCTAAATTTAAAAATCAAGGAACGGGGCTGAGACGGCCCGAAGGGCCGTCAAGCCCCTTAAATTTAAAAATCAAGGAACGGGGCTGAGACGGCCCCTTCTATTCATTTTTAACATTATTTATTATATTTTTCCAAAGAAAGGCGATTTTCGGCCAAAACGGAAATTTTCAAATCGCCCGCATTTTCGTTGCCGGGCGTTGCCGGACGAGATTTGACTTGATATGTAGACAGCATTGTCTGAGCTTTCTTGTGGTGGTGTCAGTTTGGTTGGCCAAGCCTGGCCACGTGAGAAAATCGGCAAAACGTGCGAAAAACCCGGTATTTTTTGAAAAAAATCCCAATTAACCGTCAAAAATTCAAAAATTTTTAATTTTTACCATTTTTTATGAAATCTTCGCCAATTTTCACACATTGTCCCGTGGTTTCAGCCATTTTGAAAAACAAACCGTTTTCGGCCGAAATCCCACCAGCGCAACCCCATTCATCATTCTTAGCGAAAATAACGGTCAAGACAAAAAGAATCTGACCATTCTCGCACATGTTCTGAAAAGATTCAATTTTATGCCCAATCGTAAATAAAAGCGTTCGTATAAAATAAGCGCTCATCACGTTCCAATCGCACAATTAGGTAACTACTTTTTATCTAATACAAATCAGTTTTATTTTTTCATGGAAAATACTTTCACGAAATTCCAGAGAAAGAGAATTGATCGTCGACTTTCTCGAGTTGAAAGGTAAAAGTTTATTTTGAATAAAATAAAGCCGATTTTTTAATTAAAAAATATTTTAAATTGAATTAAAAATCAACCTTTTATTGTATAATTAATTATTATAATGATAATGATAATAGATTTAAATAATAATAAAATAAAATATTGTCTTTTTGACTAAAAATTATTGAATATAAATTTCAAAGTATTGAGCATTGAGTTTCTCCCCAGGAAACATTCCTCGACATTGCTTTATTTCAGACAGTCTGGATGCTCGAACAACGAAAAGGCACGACTGGGTTTAAATTAGAGGCGTTTCCGTATCTCAAACCGTCTATAAATCCCACATCGTAATAATCTATCTCTCCCGTCGCCTTAATTAATTATCCTGCTGACAAGCTATCATTCCAAATGATTTAATTTAACAAGAGACTCTTTTAAATTATAAATTTTAACTTTTTGAAACCCGAAAATGAAGACAGAAAATGTGGCAAAAGTGACGCTCAAGAAATCCGTCGATCTCAAAGGAGCAGTTATGGTCATCGTCGGCTGCCAGGTTGGCTCCGGCATCTTCGTCTCGCCAAAGGGAGTGCTGGAATATACGAATAGCCCGGGACTCTGTCTGATTGTTTGGGCTCTTGGAGGACTCCTTGCCGGCTTGGGATCGATGGTCTATGCTGAGCTAGCATGCGGTTCGTAAAAATCGAATTATCGAATGATTTTATTATGTAATTCTCATTCCAATCAATTATCCTCATTTTGATAAGTCATTTCGAACCGACTTGACTTCTTCTTTTTTGGCGTGACACTGGTTATGTAGCCAAATGTAGCCAAATGTCGCCGAATGTCGCCGAATGTCGCCATTCAGAAATTTGCCTTTTTGGCGACATTCAGCGACATTCGGCGACATTCGGCGACATAACCAGTGTCGCCCAGTTTTTCAGTGATTTTCTAGTGATTCCAAAATCCGGCGGAGAATTCGCCTTTATGTACCACGGCTTACCCCGAGGAAAATTTCCTGCATATCTTTTCGCTTTTACCGGCGCGACTATTCTCAAAACTGCGACTCTCGGAATCATCGCCATTACTTTCGGAGACTATGCGATGAAATTCATGTCGCCCAGTTTCTGCCAATATTCAGACAACTACGAGACGGCTCAAAAGCTTTGGGCGATTCTAGCGATTTCTACAGCGGCAGCGCTGAATATTGTTTCAATAGAGTGGACGCAGAAATCTGTCAAGGAATCGAGTTTGATCGTTTTTTTGTGGCTCGTTTTGAGCGGTAATAAAATTCATAATTGGGTCAATTGTTAACACCAAAACACCCATTTTCATGAGAAATGATCGAACTTGAACAAGTTTTTCGGCCTTGGAAAGTTCATTTCTTTGGTGGCAATCATCATCGGCGGAGTTTATTTTGCTGTTTCTGGAAAAGCTGATTTGTCAATTTGGTACCCAGAGAATCTTTTTAGCCCAATTTATTCGGAGAAGAGTGTTTTGGCGGGACTCGGATTTGCGTTTTACCAGGCCATGTGGTCATACGATGGGGAGGGCTTATTTTTAATAAGGGAAAAAATTCATTATGTTTTTCTTGAAATAAAAAGCCCTCGAAAAGATGGAATCAGCTCACCTACATCATCGAAGAAATGAAACGACTGTCAGATCTTCCAAAAGCGCTGATGATTTCTATCGTATCCGTGATTTCTTTCTACGTCTGCGTCAATATTTCTTACCTGACGGTGTTGGGCCCGATCGGATTGTTGGAATCTGAGGCCGTTGGTGCTGCTTTTGCGAACAGAATCTACCCTGGGTAAGAGTGAAATCAACGAAGAAAGACAAAACATGCCCCCTTTTCTAGCCTCGATCGAGCAATTTCCTTCATGGTCATGCTCTCCACCTTCGGCGCCATCGTCATCGCCTCCTTCACCGCTGCCCGCGGCCCCTTCGTCGCCGCTCGCGAGGGCATGTTCCCGAAAATTCTAGCAATGATCAATGTCGACAAGAAATCGCCCTCGCCATCCGTTCTTTTTACCGCCGCAATCACCATTTTCCTCATCGTGATCGGCAATTTCACCCTTTTGAGTTTGAGTTGAAAATGTTGGAAAAAGAAATAATGAAATATTTTAGTCAATATTTTCAGCTTCACAATGTGGTTCTTTCATACATTGACGTTTGTCACTTGCTTGGTGCTCAGATTCACAAAGCCTGAGGTAATCTTCTATGTCTTCAAATGAAAATTCTCAATTTCTAAGGGGGGAGATATCAAAAATCGGATTTGCTGTCAGTGTTTTCTCATATTTCTAACATAGTGACCCCCTTATTTTTTTTGTTCAAAATTTATTTTTGCCAAAAATACGCGATTTTTGACGAAAAATTTTATAAAAATCTTTTTGAAACTCAAAATTTCAGCTTCCATAGGAAAAAAGGGGAAAGTTTTTGTGTCCGAAGTAAAATAAGGGTGTTACTATTTTAACTTTGGGAGAAAAGTCTGACAGAAAATGGCGATTCTTGATCTCTACCTCCTTAAGGCTCCGAGGCCAGTTCGAGTCCCGTTTCCACTCATTCTCCTTACAATCTTCGTTGGAACTTACCTCACTTTCACTCCCTTCCTCCAGCTCGACTACAATGCCGGTATCTCAAGCTTCGTACCCTACTTTGTCTTAATCGGATGGGTAAGCTATCAGACCGTCTCTTGTTTAAAAGATAAAGAAAAATAAGATGTCTCTTGGTCTAGCGATGTATTGGTTCGTCAAAAAATTCAAGATTTCCGATGTCAAATTCACGAGAAAAGTTCAAAAACTACTCAATGTAGTTTATAGCGAGGAATAATCCAAGGACATTGTTAATTTCTGTATAAATAAATTAAGGATCGTTGTCAGTTTATTGAGTTAGTGAACTCCCTTCAGAACTGATTTTTCAACATTCGAGTGGAAAATGTATCGCTCAATGTGCAAGTCGAGAATAATCACGAATGTACAGAGAACCACTGCAGAGGTCAGCAAAGTCGCCCAAAAATGACTATTCAAGGTTCATTTCTGTTTTCCCCGAAATTCTACAGAATTGTGTTTTTAATTCTAGAACCCTTATTCTTGACATCTTCGCGTAGAAACGCCAAGCTTTCTCCAACTCTTCATTTTCAATCTTTTCGACTTTTTGCGGCGAATCTTAAGAAAAATAGATAATCGTCATTTTCTCCGAGAATTTTACCGATAATTTGTTCGATCGCTTTTGGAATCTTGTACGTCTGTCTCGTCAACCATTCGAGAAGTTTCGCCATTTTCATCGTAAACTTGCATTTGAAAGGCGAAAGGTTATGCAGAGTGTCTTCGTCACGTGACGATTTCCACATCGTAAATGCTTAAATAAGAATGAGCCCCCTAATACTCTTCCGTTCCCTCACTCAGAATAATATGAGCAATGAGACTTGCGATGGTTGTAATAAGAAAGAGAATCATCAGTCGTGGACTTTGACCAATCGAGTCGAAAACCGGCGTTGTTCGTGAAAGAAGGTCGAGGTAGAGCACTACTGCTAGGAGCATCGTGACCTGGAAACCAACCGCTTCGCCGCAAGAAATCGGCATCCAGAGACCAAGGCAGACCAGAAGATTCAAGCAAACGATGGGAATGAACAGGGTGACTTCATAGTAGACCGTGTGACGCTCGAGTAGAAAGTAGACATTGACGAGGGAATAGGATCGTTTCAAATGGCCAATGACTTTTTCGGCTGCATATTTGTATCCTAGAAGATCCCATTCTGCGTTGTCATGGTAAAATGATCCCTTGAGAACGCTGAGATGGACTTCTTCGTAATTTCCAACGCTCGAGGAAAGATTTCCAAGAGTGTTGAGCATGTTCCACTCGTGGACGTGAAAATACAGCTTGTAATCGGACATTGTCGGTGTGGCAAAAGAAAGGCCGCATTCTTGTGAGTCAAATGGATACAAATTCTGCTGGACGTCGCATCCGACGAGAGCGCGCATTTTGATGATTTCATGGACAGTTCCGTCATGATGCACTTCGCAGACGTATTCGAGCTTTCCGTCGATCATTTGAACAAGATTCATGATCTCGATCGGCGGCGTCCAGATTTTCGAAGGGTCGAAGATTGTGTACAAAACACCGTTGTACTCTTTATCGTCCCATTTGAGTCGCGAGTCGTACCAGTTCGCGTACATCGTGAAGGTCAAGTCCATGTATGCTCCTCTAAGTTCGATCTTGTTGATTCCATCGAGCTCGATGTAAAGATCTACATCGATCACGTGATCATACAAGGGTCGTTTGAGAATGTCGTTGAGAATGAGAATTTCGTTCGCGCTTACATCGTCATGTTCGGCGAAATCGCCGACTTTTTCTTTCCATCCAGATAGCCGACGCGCTCGTAGAAATCATCATCGTGGACTTCGCATTTTCCTAAAGAGAGATCGTCTTAAACCCCTCCCTTGATCTTTAATCCTACCGTGATAAGGCGCAGATCTGGGATTCTTGAAGTAAATATAGTCGAGCCACTCATCGCAAGCTCTTATTTCTTCGAAATCGGAGCTCGCATGGGTGCAGTAGAAAACATGAGCAAGGGATTCTTCTCGATTTGCATTTTCGGGGAAGTTTTCCATGATTTTCGGAATCCATTCTTGACAGATTTCTTCGCGGTATTCTCGATCTTCGATGGACTTGTTTTTCGGGAGGACGATTAAAGGGCTCACATCTGAAAACTAAATAAGCGAAGAAGAAAAAAGATACCTTTGAAATAGTGTTCTAAAAGATCTTCGTGCAATTTTTCCTCTGCAGTTGGCTCTCTCGCATTTATGAAATCAAAAAGTAAAAAAATTATCAGCATTTTGTTTCGTTCTTTAAAAAATGGTAGAAAATTGCTGTTTCTGGTTTTTTATCGAAGTAATTGCTCCAATGAAAAGCATTTTTATGGTGCATTGAAAAGTGTGGTCACTTTAATTATTTTATTGCTGTCGCTGAATAATTCTTTCAAAGGGCAATCAGTTGCAATGATAATTAGCGTCTTTTTGTCACGGGGAACTTACACTTGTCGTAGTGAGACAACAGTTCTTCGTGAAGTGCTTCTTCTGGCCAGTACTCCCGAGCTTTCACAAAGCTCAGGACGACGATGATGAGTATCATTTCAATCTTAGCAAAAAAGATTTGCCAAAAGGACAATCTAGGAAGTTATGTGGTCAGAGAGAAGATGATGAACGACGACATGATCAATCAGCAATTCTCTCATGATAATAACTTTAAAAGCTTTTCATTTCTCTTATTTTTACGATAAAAGTCGATTTGGTTATTTTACCCACGGATGCAAACACAAATCCATACACCCTTGAGCCACAAAACACTCTTTTGAGCCAAAAATTTGACCCATAATAATCACTTATTTGCTTGTATCAAGTTATACGATTTTGTCTTATCTCTGGTAAACGAAAATGCATATTACTGTGGTAAAAATGTTTTCTCCACTCTTTCTCGTAAAATCGAATGTCAAAAAATTATCACTTGCAATAAAGATTCGAGAATAAGCGTTTCTTACAAAGTTATAATCGATGTCAGTGAAATTGCAGAGCAACTAGGTAACTACAGGTCTTCCAAGATATTTTTACGCACAAATCGGAAGGAGCAGCAATTAAACTTTATTTCATGCCAGTGACGTATTCAACCAGTGATTTTGAATGAACTGTCGTGAACAAAAATAAATCGACCGCGGCGAAATTTATATTAAAGAATCCAAAAGTCCCTTTTAGCTTTTCTTTCGAAAATGCACATAAAAACCTTCCGTTCAAAAATCACTTGAAGCCCTTAATCAACCGCAGAACGAACAAATTATCATCATCAATTTTGTGCTCCTTATCTCTTGTTATACAAAACGATACCAATCGCCTCCGCACGCATGTTTTTCTGGTGCACTTAATAATCATCTTGCCATCATTTTTAGCTCAATATTTTTGGAACAAGCAGTAGCCACGTGAATTTGTATTTTGAGAACAATATTTTGTACAGATAGAAGATTTACCTCGCGCTTTCGAAAAGTCACATTTTGAAGAGGCAAAATAATAATTACAGTCAAATAAAAATTGAATTGTTTTTTTATAAATCATTATCCATTGTGGTTCTTACTTTACATGAGAAATGGTCAGCATTACTTTTTGCTTCAGAATTTTCTTTTTCGGGGCTCTATTTTTTAACGAAGCATTTTTTTGACTTTATTAAATTATTTTAATTAAAAATTTTGATTAAGGACCCCCCGTCAACACTTTTCGAAAAAATTATTTTCGGAATTTTAAAATTTTGACCCCGGAAATGGATTCAACGGGTCATAAAACGATTTTGAGGCTTCATTTTTTGGGGGTCTATCTCGACTCCTTCACCCTCAAAATCGTGTTTGAAAATCGGACTTTTCGACTAAAAATGACGAGAAAGTCCCAATTTTGGTAAAATTTTAGATTTTTTTTGGTCAAGAAGTGCGCCGAACATGTTTTTATGATGTATTAAACTTCCAGGCACACTAAGAAGCCAAAATATGGCTGTTTTGAAATTTTCGATTTTTTAGGAAAGTTGTTGACGGGGGTGTTAGGGTCCTTAAATCAATTTTCAAAATTTATTAAAAGTTTATTTGTTTAAAACAAATTTATTAAATTATTTTTATTGATTTATTTAGAATTAATAATTTAAAAACAAATTTATTCAATTTTTAAATTATTTAAATTTTATTAAATTCTATTTTATTCTATTATTTTTTTAAATTTATTTGAAATATATTATTAAAAAATTTAATTTTTTCGAAACTGATTAATTTGAATACAAACTGTTTCAAGCCCTTTTCCTTTTTCTCGGGCGCTCTGGGAATGAAATGTCGGGAGAGCCACCACTTGAAGCATCCCTTGCCCTTTGCTTTGTCCACATCAGAGTCGTGGAAACTCGACGGATGGCTAAATATCACTTTCTGATGACCACGTGGAATGTGCGTTACTTCCTCGAGCTTTTCCCGCAGCTTCTTCAGTCGGCAATTGAGCTCCACCTGAATCGAAAAAGAACGGTTAGACATAAAAGAAGATAAAAGCAGTAATATTTCCGAGAGCTCAAGTGGCCAACCGGAAAGGTGCGTCGCAAGACTTTATTATCCTGAATGGCTTACACGTTCTTTTAAGAGCACGTGCGTCGTCTCACGTGAGAGACTATAATTACTGTTTATGATAATCGACATCTGATAATTGGGATTTTTGAACAAGAATTTTTGCGGAGTGTCAGGAATCGACAAAAATCTCGACAAATTTTACGTGGAAATTTTCAACCAATCAGAAGCCTTGATTCGGCAAGCCGGCAAATTAGCAGCCGAGAAGCCACCAACGCAAAATTTGTCGATTTTTTGTGAAAAAAGAGTCGTTGCCGCTTTTTTTAATAAAGCCGCAAAGCGGCTTCGCTTGAATTTCAAGAATAAATAGAAAAATAAAAACGCGAAGCTTCTTTTTCAAATTCTGACTCAGGTTTTCTACACAGGTTCTCACGAGCCCTCTTTTTTTTCTTATTTTCTTGAGTTGTACCTCTAAATAATATTGCTGACCATCTTCTGTTCTTGCAAGTAAAATCACCATCGCTTCTTCTTAGTTTTCATTCATAACAAAGCTCCTGCTTTTTGTCGAATCTAAAATTATTCTCAATTTTTTCCCATTTTTTCTACGTTCTTTTTTCAATTTCGGATCAAATCGAAGTCCGCTTGAGCCGCGGCGGAATCCAAAAATCCTCTATTATTTTCAAAGTTCAAAAATTAGAAAAGCAAAAGGCTTGCTCTCCAAAAGTAAGTTAAAAAGCGAATCCGAAAGTTTCAAAACAAGCGACTAAAACCCAACGCCTCGAAATTCAACAAGCGTCAAGATTAAACGCAAAAACGTGACCAGACCATCACCGTTCCTTGGGTTCATCCTGGACTTTAATTTTTAGAAAAAAATAAGCGTCATGACGTCAAATTTGGACACTAACAAGTCCGACCAATTTTTTGGCATTTTTCGACATTTGAAGAAAACGGACATTTCAAGAAGGTGGACATTTGAAGAAACATTTGAAATGTCCGTTTTCCCTTAAATGTCTGCTGCCCTGTAAATGTCCGCTTTACTTGAAATTTCAAGAAAAATGGACATTTAGATCTGTTAAGACATTTCAAGAAAAGCGGACATTTTTATCAAAAAGGACATTTAAAAAACTGGACATTTGAAGATTTTCTTTGCTTGAAATGTCCGTTTCTTTTAAATGTCCGTTATCTTGAAATGTCCGTTTTCTTAAAATGTCCTTTTTTTAAATGACCGTTTTCTTGAAATGTCTATTTCCTTGAAATGACCATTGATCGATGAAAACCTCCAGTGCCATTTTTGAATTCGTGTTTCGGCGAACGGTGGGCACGGCAATTGTAAATGCTAATATTATCCGCCTTGAAGAAGAAAAAGAAGAAAGGCAGTTGTTTTTTCTAGCTTCGTTCACCCGAGACCTTATGACGTGTCTTTTGAGTGAAATCGGCAAGTTCCTCAAGTGACAAATTTAACTCTTTGCCAATATTTTGATCTTGCTGATTAACTCAGACATCTCGAGTTTTGCGCTCTCTTTCAACTTGAACCTCTCGCTTGAGCGATAAGATTGCCATATTAGAAGAAAAGAGAAAATGGCGGGTTCAAGAGCAGGGAAGATCAACGTGGTTTCTAGAGCGTATCTTATCAAGAAGCTGAATAATACTTTCCCAACTGAATTTCTCAAAAACGAAAGAAAAACTTTTTTCTTTTTTTTTCAATTCAAAAATAATCTTATTATTGTTAGTTTTAAGCAATGCGAAAAATATATTATAAATTGTGAAAATTATAAAAATCAATTTTACTACCAAAAAATTTAATAAAATAATATTCTCTTTATTTTTTTAAAAATTTGATTCTTTTTTCGAAAAAAACATCCAGAAATTTTCGTGAAATCAAATATTTGATTTTTCCTAAAAATTAAATGACTTACGCAAAATTCGATGATGATTATTTTCGCCGTCTTCTTGTTCAAATCTCTAATCAGTTCAAGAAAAAACAAAGCAAGCAGAATTCTTTTTTGATAAATCCCCACCTTTGGGTGCCCCGCGTGTCCCTTACGGTACCTATCGTTGCTCCTTCGTTTTCTTGAACACGCACTGTGCCCGCGAGCCCTCTCCCCCTCCTCTTCTGCAACCCTGGCGCTAATAGTGTTGACAACAAAACAATTCGACGACGATTTTTCTTTTGAAAATTGCTTGTCAAACATAATTTTCTTGGTTTTGACATTATGATGCTTTTTTTTCACAATCTTTCAAGCCAAAATTTTCAAATTAAATGTCTAAAATTATCAAGATTTTAAAAAGAAAAATTTATTTGATTTTAATATTCATAACAGACTAAAAATGGCCCCATCGAATCGCATTCTTCGGGTCTTTTCTTGGGTCTGTTTTTCTTGTTGCTGTTTTTTCAGGTTCTTCTCTCCAAGGATCGCTCAAAATTGAAATCAGCGCCGAGAAAACTCCGTGATTATTCGATTTACTCGACAATTCATGTTCCTAAAGACTTTTTGCTTGATTTTTTGAATAAATACTTGAAGAACCTGTTTTTTGATGGGAAGTTTCGTTGCAAAGACAAAATCTTGGAGGGATTTGAATTCATCAATATACTAAAAAAAGCTCAAAGATCAACTGTAAATTCGGACTTACAGGATTCGAAAAAACACCGAAGTAAAAAAGAAAAATAATTCTCATTCGAAAAAGAATTAAAAGCTGCACTTTGTAGCTTTTTTTTTTAAGATTACTGTATACCTGGTATGTCTGGGACTTATTGATTAAGCGGCTATGACAAACAATATGTCTAAAGAAAATTGCTGACAGCGAAAATTCTCGAAGAGCGTAATTTTCGTTTTCTTGAAGGAAAAATCCTTTCTTGGAGGAGAAATCTTGAACTCGCGGCGGTGCCGAATTAACGCGGCTTGAGTAGCCACAATAAAGCTTGCCAACGCATTTCCTGTTTGACCTCAAACTTTGTGAGCGCGAAATCGAATTAGCTGATGTCATTAGAAATCAAGGAATAGAAGGAGTCCAATCACGTGTCCTTCCTCACCTTTTGACTTTTGCTGTTTTGAGTTACGATAATGACATAATCAACAAAACAACTTTTTTGAAGAAAATGAAGTGATACCCTGATTTCGCGAAAAAAATTTTTTCTTCGAAATTAAGAAGTGATAACCTTATTCCACCAAAAATTTTTATCTTCAAAATTTATTGGTGAAGCCCTTATTCCGAAAAAATTTTTTCTTCGAAATTAAGTAGTGATACCCTTATTCGGTAGACGACGGGTTTCATTCTTTATAAAGAATCATTCTTTAGAAAAAGAATCATTCTTTGAAAATAAAGAATCATTCTTTTTCGGGTGGCTCCAAAAAGAATGATTCTTTTTTGTTTTGATAAATGCTGCTCTAGAAGACTTAAGCTCTAGAAATAAACGGTTTTCATTCTTTGCGAAAAAGAATCATTCTTTATAAAGAATGAAACCCGTCGTCAGCCCCCTTATTCCGCAAAAAAATTTTCTACGAAAAATGTCCGAAAATTGACGGAAATCATGACTTCCACTTTAACCCTTTTCGTTCACTTGACGCGGTGATTATTTTTTGCAAAATATACATGAGGTCAGAAAAGGATCGGATGTTGTTTTTTGTCAAAAGACCGTCTCCCGCCCAGTAACATCAGTCGCGCTGCGGAGGGTTGAGTTTCCGCCCTCACGAAAAAGCAGCAGAATTAGAGGCGCATTAGCGACGCTATGTAAAGGGATTAACTTGGCTCTTATGCTGAGCTAACTATCGATGGCTTTCTTGGAAGGGCTCTACAGCACGATTTTGGTTGGAAAAAAAACGCGGTCGAGGGCGATTTTGGTCGAAAAGAGGTTCAAATTTTCACTTTTAGAAAAAAAAAGTTGAGTAGACAATTTTTTTCAAGTTTTTTATTTACAATAATAAAAACTAAATTTTTATAAAATTTTTCTCATCTTTGAGTTTTTCGTTTTCTTCTTGGTTTTCTTCTTTTGTTGAAAAAATGCAAACAGAATTCGCTAGCCAGTTTATTGCGCCAAATCCTAAAAGAAAATTTGACTCGAATTGATAAGAAATTTTCAACCTGCTGCAGCAGCTAAAGAGTACCAAGCAGAACCATAGTATCCTTTGAAACTCGGTCCGTATTTTAACACTGGAACTGTGAGGATGGGCACTCCTTCAATGACATAAACTGCTATTGTTACGAGGCAAAATGTGGCTAGCGCTGTAAACATGATTCCGATTCGCCGGAGTTTGGGAGAATCGAGGAAGCAAAACAGGATCCCAAATATTGAGACGATGATGTTAACAAGGGCGATATAATCTGAGTCAAAACTAGCGCTTTTTTACTCAAAAGAAAGCTTACTAAATCCAATAGGTCGAGGGCGAAGCCAGTAAGAGCTCGGATCCCAAAGACCGGGAGACGCTTCATCCCAGGTTGTACACCTTTCCGATGAGTCATAAGCGGTTCCGGTGCAGATTTTCCAGATGCCATACCATTTTTCAGTGGCAAAACCAGAGATATAACCTCTTGAATCGAAAAGAGTTGGGCTTATTAGCGAGTACAGCGTCAAGGCTAAAAATGAGTTTGTCTGGATTTCGGTGAGGGATAAATTTACCAGAAATAATGATAGAAATACAGTTTTCGATGATTCTCTGATGCTCCCAAAGATTGATGAGAGAAGGAAGGCCTTTTGCTTGAAAAAGAAGAGCGATCACGCAGCCGAGTTTTGTGACAACCCCAGTTACTTCTATCCACCCTTCAGAACCGATCATACTGTAGCAATTACAGGAGACATCGAGCATTACAGGGATGGATCCTTAAAGCTTTGTCTTGATGTTTTTTTTAATCCTTGCTTACCAATGAGTCCCAGAAGCTTGGTAACAGACAAGACGGTAGAGAAAAACATAAGTTCGTAAACAATCGTAGACATTCCATAGTAAACAGCGCTTAGGAAAAGCAACCCATCAGTCAACAATCCGAGAACCGCGAATTTGTGCGAAAATCTTATCGGAATCGGAACACCATAGCCAAGAATACCATACCACGAGGAGCAGTAGTCGAATTCGATTGTGTCAGTTTCGTTTACTGGAAAATTGGAGTCGATGAAATTGTCGATGATGGTTTCGAAATCGGGGAGGGGAGGTAAAGTTGGCGCTTTTTCGGCAGGTAAAGTCGGCGAGATAGGGAGAGTTCGGCTCGTTGATTGGGTTGACGAGGACAGGGTCGGTAAAGTAATTGTTGGTCGCGTTGTTGTGGTTCGAGTTGTAGTAGTGGTCGTTGTTGTTGTCGTTGGGCGGAGGTCATTGATGCCTAAACGATGAAAAATTGGCTCGAAAAACGGAAAATTTCTAATAAAATTTGTTTCGTCAAACCTTGAAGCTTGTGTTTCAGCTCTCTGAGTCTCTGTTTCAGCCCATGTGCAGCAGAATTCTTCGTTATCATCGTTGATTTCAAACAAATCTCATACAATCCACCATAAAGCAGCAGCGACGCGCCCCGATCATCCACATTTTCAATCGGAATTTCCAAGTTGACCCAATTTAATGCTCTCAAACTGTACGCCTCAAAAGCACTGCCGATGAGGTAAAAACCGAGAATGAGGATAAAAGCTCTTTTTTGAAAAATTTTTAACTTCATTTTAACTTTTTTATCACAAATTTACCGGGAAAGTAAATCACGAGATTGAAGCCGCGCTATTTACAGAGATATTTACAGAAGGTGGTACCAGAATTATGAGTTCGACACGCCCAACATCAAATAATCACTCAGTTCAAGGTAAGTTTGAGATTTTCATGCTCTCATTAAATAACTTGTTTTTGAAAGAAAAGAACAAGCAAATTAGTTGAAATCAAGGAAGAGAACCTATCTTTTCAAGGAACACATTTATTTGACTTTCAATGTGCTTTTTGACGATTCATTTTCCTTTTTTAGAGTTAATTTGTAACAAACGTTGCATAAATTCGGGATGAGAATCAAAGGAAAATAAACTCATTCTCACTTTTTCTTATCAAAAGCCCACCCGGTCGCACGGTTATTAAACTGCATCTCAACCTCTTCTCTTTACATACAAAAAGAGAGGAAAATGGCTAGGGGAATGATATTCATTCCTGATTCAGACTCTAGCGGCCCATTCATTATTTTCTGCATTCTAGCGAGCATTCTGTCTTCTTTTCTCTGCAACATGAAGCCCGACAAGAAGAAGCAAAAAGCAAAGCAACCAACGCCAGGTCCCCAAACAGCTCCTCACTTGGTTCCGTTGAAAAAAGGCAAGTTGGCTAAAATTAAAATAAAAAACGGGGAATGTTTAGTTGTTGCCGTGGAAGATTATGAAGCAAAGAAAGATGACGAGTTGACGATCAAGCAAGGCGAAGTGGTTCATTTGATCGAAGAAGAACATGACGGCTGGGCAGTTGGAATTGTTGACGATCGACTTGGGCGTTTTCCTACTTCAGTTATTGAGAAAAAACTAGTCGCATCTGAGCTTGTATGACAAATTTTGACTTTCCAAGAGACTACTTGTTCACAAATCAGCCAAAAACTAAAATTACTGTCATCTTGTCCAATAAACTGCACTATAAATAACTAAATTCGAAAAAAAATAATGAGTCGAAATGTTATGCAGAATAACTACTGTAAAAATGCTTCTCTAGAATCATCAGTGTTTTTGCAAAAAAAAATACGGGTTACTCAGTTTCGGACCGAAACTTTTGGTTCGTCCATAATCGCTGGAAAAGGTATGAAACATTGAAAAAGCGCTAATCAGTAGGCATTTTTTCAATATCATTCTGAAAGTTTGAAAAATTTTTACTGTTTAGCGAAGAAATTATCTCAAAATCTTAAATAATTTGAGTGATATTTGAGTGAAAAAAGAACATGTTTTTGATTTCTCGACTACTCAAATACCTGTGCTCTTACAAGACTGAAAATCTCTAGAACGCTCACGTGAGTTGTTTTGGGACGGGGTATATAAGCCGCGAATTTTCATATTTTCTTTAGTTTACAATACGCAACTTTTGAGAAAGCCGGAAAGGCCCGTCGTTCGAAGATGGGAAATTTTTCCGATGAAGATCTTGCGAAGTACCCCTGGCTGGAAAATTACACAGTGCCAGATTATTGGGTCGACAAAATGGGAATCACAGACGAAAAAATACCATCACTCATCAAACTTGCACAAGGAAGTAAGTTAATCAATCACTATATTTTCTGCTAAACAGCGGTTTCAGCTTTGATAGCACTCGTAATCATAACGTTTTCTCTCTACATAATGACTTGGTGGGTTCGAAAGCACATCAGTCTTTCAAAACGACTCGGAGAAGAGCCGATGACTTGTTTCGAGAAATTTTCGCAGGAATGGCTCAGATCTTTTTTTCAATTTTTTTCGAAAAAAAGCATAAATCGAAGCCCTGAAAAGAAATGTAAGCTTGGACAAGAACCATCAATTAATTTCGTCTCATCGGGGTCTTGGAAGGTGAGGAGTCCAAATATGCAGGTGGTATCACCTCGTTGTCTCGGGACCGTGCAGATGCGAGCAAGTGCGGCGGATCAATAGCGTAAACTGCCCTGTATCTCAGATAAAATCAACATCCGGTACCCCCCTTAGAGAGATAATTTGACGTAAACTGGACATTTGGATAATATATTTCGACGATGAAATACAAAAATGGACGAGATTTTGATAAATACACAATGAATATGAGTTTGTACAAATTATAATCCGCAATAAGACTGATTCAAACTGGACGATTGGCTCATCTGGAGAGCCTAATTGATGGCAAATTTCTCGGATATTTCTAGGAGATCATTAAAAAAAGGATCTTTTAAATTGAATTGACCTTCGTTGACAATCTTCAGGCTGATTCGAAATTTCCTCAAACCAAAAACAAAGTGGGCATTGATCCGCAGAGCCTTTCTGATGCCCGACAAGTATTTGTATACACTTTCATTTTCATTTAATTCTTTATAACATTACTTATGTTACATTAGCTACTTTGTTTTTAGCACTTTGTAAGACAAAAGTGTCTTTGTAAGTCAACAAGTAGAGATTCATTGCAAAATTTCGGGGTAAGACCCATCAAATATTCAGAAAATGCTGATATTTATCATTTGACCCGCGGTACTTAGATAGACTAGGGGGGAGTGAAAGACCTTGTTTGAGTTCTCGAGCCATTTTGATTTTCTCTTTCGCTTCTTCGTAAGTAGGAAAATTAAATTTATGCTTAGCCGCCATATTTTTTGGAATTACGCTTGCACCGAAGAGATCCATCCCGGTTACGACCTAGATTACCATCACTTCTACCCCTCAAGCTACTTTTGATCCGCCGTGCTACCTCACAGCTGTTATCTCATTTTCAAATCAGTACCTATATGGACTCCTCACCTTCCATAAACTCGTCTCATCAACCTTGATCACCAACGACCGTGTCTACATCATCATGCGAGTTGCAATTGCCATTTGGTCACTTACTTTGACAACCGCCGGCTGGGAGGGAAACAGATCTGCTTTCTTTGGAGCTTATTTCCCTATGGGTAAGTCTTTTTCTATCTTAGCATTTTGATGCTTTGGTTTCACAGTAACCATGCAAAAATTAATTTTCCTTTAGCTGCGTGTATTACGATTTATGTCAATTTCAACAGAGAAAGGATTGTCGAAGGCTTTGGGCCTTGGATGCAATTTTTCAACAAGTTCTTGTCATTTCTCTTCAACTGTCAGGTGAGATCGAGGCTCAGCATTCTTCCTAGAAAACCTGCATCAGGTTTTAGGCGTCAAACTAAGGATCTGTTAGGCGGCGCTTCGACTTGTTATCTCAATCTCGTGGTGGACTCGATGGTTCGGCATTTGTAAATATCGATACATGATGCGGCCACTTGGCATGTCAGCGTTCTGGATGGCCAGCAAGGAATACTCTCCAACAGTATTTTTGCTTGTTGAATTGCTTTGGTTCGACACTCAAGGTACCAATGATTTTCCATCCCAGAGTTGCAAATTTTGATTAATTTTTCTGAGCTGAGCTGGCCTTTTCAGAGGGCATTGAGCGGAGCTGAGCAGACCTTTTGTTTAAGAGAGTTGAGCGGAGCTGAGCTGAGCGGACCCTTATTAGAGCTGAGCTGATTGAGCTGAGCCGAGCTGTATTTTTTTAGTGTTTTTTGGTAGTAAAATTGTATTCAAATCATTGAGCTGAGCTGAGCTAAGTGATAGTTGTTTGAGCTGAGCTGAGCAGAACAGATCATGTTCGAAAATAATTGAGCTGAGCTGAGCGAAAATTGTCTGAGCTGAGCTGAGCAGATCAGATCATTTCCCAAAATCACTGAGCTGAGCTGAGCGACTGCTCAGCTCACTCAGCTCAGCAAATTTGCAACTCTGTTCCATCCATCTAAGATGGACCATCTTTTTATTTGTTTTTAGTAACGATGCACGGACTGATCAACCCCTTGTGTGCTGGAGCATTATCGACGTGGGGAATAATGGCTGGCAATGACAGTCCTCCTCAAGCACTTGCGTAAGTTATCTACTAAAATCGCGTCGTGGGCTATTTATTTTTTTTTTAGGTCTTATAACAATGATGTCGCTGGATGCATTGTCATTATGTTCGCCTTCTTCGTTTTGATCCCGTTGATCCATTCGCTTCTTGCTGGTTTCTGCATCACCAAGTTCTGGATTTTCAAAAAAATTCCCGTCATTGGTCAACGCTATTTAAACCGTCAGGAAAAAGTTGAAACTGATATTCAAAAAAAATATCCTTTGCTTTAAATTTCTCTAAGAAGATCTTTATCACTTCAAATCGATTTCCCTTGAATAGAACTGCATCGCCATCTTCCGAAAACGACACGAGCTGAACAAGTTCCTTCCAAAGAGCACGCTCCAAATGAGAAAAACGACAAGTACCAAGGCGTATTCTGATTTCGGCCGACAGACGAAGATTCGTCAATCGATGGCTCGAAAAACAGAAATGATGAGAAGCTCAAGATGAAGAATGACCATTTCTGATCTATTTTTGTAACCCTTATATAATATAATATAATATATAATATAAGTTATATTCTATTTTTTCAAAAAATATATTTTCAAAGAAACAAAAATTTGTTGTTTTTGATTGCATTTAAAATCGTCTTTGTTTTCGCTTAACGTGGCGGCTCGGAAATTGCGAAAAACAACTTTGTTTCCCAGCTTTAAAATTGAAATAAACCGGGCTTACGGCACATTTTTTATTTCCGTAAGTACGAGTTAAATCAGAACAGAGAAAAAGCGCAAATGTGGCGATATGGGAAGCTGGGAAAAGAGAAGAGGATGAATATTTTCAAGCTGGGGAGTTTTTGCTGCTTTCTTTTCGTATGTTTTCATAAAACGAAAAATAATAAAAGAAATTTTCCATATTTTTAGCTGGTGATTCTTTTTGCAAAATCATTGTCCCTCGAGGCTGAATTTTCAACAACTCAAGGTTCATCATGTTAAGGGACCTGGGCGAGCAGCGCGGAGCCGAACTTCACGGGCTCGCAGCTTATCTTAGAAGTGAGATTTTTAAGAATTTCTTTTTGCAAATCATATCAACAAACATTCAGCTTTCTAAACCTACTTTCAGAATTTCTCTATCATTACCGGTTGATGAACTAGAGAGAAAAAGAGAAGAGCAACTTCAAAAGGCATCAAGTCCTGCAAACCAAATTTTATCTTCCTGAAACTAGGACCATTGAAAAGCCCGTTTAATTCTGCACAGATTCCACCTAATGCGCAAAGCTAAATACGTACTTATCGCTAAGTAACGCCAAATATACAAAGTTACTTAGCGCGCTCAGCTGGTCGCGGCGCAGTAGGACGCTCTGATGAAGCTATTTTGGCCTTCCGGGACATGATTCCCGCTGAGCGCGCGCTCAGTTATCTTGTTTATCTAGCCTCTATCGCCAATAGGTACTGTCCCGTATTTGCGCATTAGGTGGAATCTGTGCAGAATTTAACGGGCTTTTCAATGGTGCTATTTTCAGGAAGATAAAGTTAAGTTCGCAGGACTTGATGCCTTTTGAAGTTGCTCTTCTCTTTTTCTCTCTAGTTCATCAACCGGTAATGATAGAGAAATTCTGAAAGTAGGTATAGAAAGCTTAATGTTTGTAGATATGATTTGCAAAAAGATATTCTTAGAAATCTCACTTCTAAGATAAGCTGAGAGCCCGCGAAGTTCGGCTCCGCGCTGCTCGCCCAGGTCCCTTAATCGAACCCCCAAAATAAGACAAGCCATTTCTAGCGCCTGCAACAAACTTCAACGAAGAGAAGGAATATTTACTCAATAAGGCGGTTGCCAATATGCAATCTTCTCTGGACCAGCTTTCGGAGAGAATTGACCGCTACCCTCTCAATTTGGACACAGGCAACGATCAAGATTGGAACTTTTATCCGGACACTTATATTTCGGTATAGTATCGATAAACTCAAAAAAACTGATTTACTTCTAGGGCTGCACAAAAAATAAATGCAAAAGTATCAAAACTCTCGAAGAAGCCAAAAAGCAATGCATAAAATCGGAGGACTGTTTTGGAATAACACGCGAAAACGGAGAATTTCAGCTTCGCGCCGGCGATTCTTACTCGAGCTCAAACGGAGAACATTCCTGGATGCTGAAATTGGAGAAATGCAACGATGAGCTTGAGGGGGAACATCTGATCAATATTGCTCAAATGGAGAATTTATATGAAGATTTGAAAGATCAACGGTTTCGGCGGCCAAATGGAAGATGCCTTTACCGGGGTAAGTTTCTGTTTGCGCTAGAATTGAGTTCTTCGAATTGGAATCTATTCTCATTCGAATCTATTTCTAGCTGAATTTACGCATATCAACAAACTGCTTGAATTCAACCCAAAGCTCGACTTTTCTACCGTCCATTCTCCCTCAGCGTGCGATTTTAACAACTCGACCGAATCCATTCTTTTTGGGATAAAATCCATGCCCGAATCCGTCAACTTTCGAAATTCCATTCGAAAAACATGGGTAAACCACGATCTCTGGAGCAAGCTCGGATTCCAAATCAAAGTCGTCTTCATCATCGGCCAGAAAGAAAATGTTAATTTGAAAGAAGAAATGACGAAAAATGGTGATTTGTTGGTGCTGGATTTTGAAGAAAGTCATTACAATTTGCCCTACAAGGACATGGCATTTTTGAGTTTTATCAAAGAAAAATGCTCTTCCGCGGATTTTGTCTTCAAAGGTAAAATAATCATTCTCAGAGAATCTTCGATCTTGAACCATTTTTTCTATTGAAAATTTCCAGGTGATGACGATATCTTATTGGTCCCTCAAAATCTCATCAACGAAATCTCCAAAATCAAATACTCACCATCGATCGAAGCCATTGGCTGCAAAAAAGGTCCCGAGCTTGTCATCAGAGAACCGACCTCAAAGTATTTTATCCCGAATCAAATCTACCCGAAGCCAAAGTGGCCTCTTTATTTTTCCGGCGCTGGATATCTGACAACTGGCGAGTTTTCGATGAACCTGGCGAAAGTGGCGACGGAGGTGCAGGTAGTGCCGCTGGATGACGTTTGGATCGGGACGCTGATAGAAAAAATGGGCAAAAGGCTTGTTCTTTTGAAGGAATAATTATTTCATCGATAATTTTAGTGAAAACATGGCTCGATCGGAGACCATCTGCGCTGGCGTCATGAACGGTTTCTCCATCCACGACACCTGTACTGTCCGAGGCCTGACCATCGTCCACAAGGTTTGGGACAGCGAAATCATGCCGGCTGCTTTTGCTAACGTCGTCTCAAAAGATTTCAATTGTGATGAGGAGAGGTAAATGAGAACAAAAATATGAATCATTTAATTTTTTATCCAAGATTGAAAAGCACTCAGGGAAGAACAAGAAGATTAAAAGATCATCAGAAAAATGCTTGGAACGAAAACTTCGAGAATTTTCAGGGAATAAGCAACGAAGTGCCGAATCTATTATAAACTGCCGCTTACACACACTAAGGAATAAATTTTATCTATTTATAAAATAGTTTTTATTTAGTAAAAACAGAGTAAGGTTCATCTATTGTGTCTTCGAACAATAGCTGGAAAGATCTTATGGCGATTTCGGACGGAGAACTTTCTTCTTCTGAATCTAAAATTATTGATTTCATCTTTTTCGAGAATCAAAAAATGTCACGTGAACTCATCCCAAGATCTTTTGCTTCCTGAAGCATTTCAGTTTTGACCAAGCCAGGCATAAGTGTCAGAATTCGAAAGTCGCCCTTTTCTTGCTGAGCTGCTCGCAGAAAAATACCCCTAGAAGCCTTTCCGACGCATTGTAAGCTCCAATTAGCAGCGGCATATGAAGGGCCTTCGTAGCCAAAACTGCTGCCGAGATTGAACACAGTGAAATCTTTGCTTCCACGAGCACGGTTTATCGCATTGAAGACTTCGACGAAATTTGAGACGTTTGTGTTGAAATCTAAATTGATAAAATTAAGGGTGTCCCCAACGATCGGATTCGACTAATCTTAGTCTGATGACCAAATTTTTTTCAGTTAATTAAAGGAAGCTTATTCTAGAGCTTTTTTCAGATCTGAAATATCTCATCTGATTCTCGAGATATTACTGTTTCTATGACAGCGCTAATGCATTACGGCTCGATAGAAATGCACTGTAAAAAGTGTCATTTTCAAACTTTCGATTTTATATATCGACCTGTATATTTTCTGAGAGCTTGAAAAATTCTCTATTCAATGATACCTATATCAATACGATAGCGCAAATTTTTCACTTTCAAACAGTGCGCCAAAAGTCGCAAACACCTGCACTTTGGCGCCGGAAAAAGGGATTAAGGGTCTTATCAACGCAAAATCAGAGCGTACCGGGAGATTGAAAATAGATCAAGCTATTATTCCTGTAAAAATGAGACAAATTGAATTTCAGGAACAGCGCTAGAATTGAGGTCAAACTTCAGCAAAATCGTTACTTCAAAGAATGCATCGTATCTGATGCATACAGATAAATTTTAAAAATCCGTCAAATTTATGGCATAGAAGAGCGTTCAAGGAATCAGGATCTGGTCGAAATTTAAAAATTGAATTTGTAGAACTCGAGAAAAACGATCTGAAAGATTGGTCAGAATAGAAAAATCAGAACTCTTTGAAGAAGCGGTAGGGGATTAAAAGATTACAATTTCAAAATTCTGCCAAATTTATGGCATAGAAAAGGGTCTAAATAATAATGAGTATATTTCTTTTAGCCGAAAAGCCTTCAGGAAGTTCTATAAAAAATAGCTCAAAGTATAGCCTGTTTTAAAAAAATCGTTGGGGACACCCTTAAGAATGATCTAACTTAAAAATTCAATCTTACACTTTGAAATTCGAGCAGCATTGAGTCCACTCACACCACTTTGATCATACCCTTTCCAATGGTTCAGAAGTCGTAAGAGTTTTTGGCTCAAAAATTATAAATTGACATATATCAGCCTGTCAATAAACCAGCTCCTAGTTCAAAAGCACACGCAACAAAAATCACTCTTTTGCAGCTCCCGATCCATTTATCCAACTCTGCCATCACCTCGAATTCCTTCCCAAGATCCAGCTCTACCGGAATAACCTCATTTCCTCCCCTCACAAAGCCAAAGTCAATCTTCTCCAACGCCGACTTTCTTCTCCACGTAAAAACGATTGTCGAAGACTCTAGTTTTGACCCAAAATGCTCAAGAATCGCTCTTCCAATTCCACTTGAACCGCCAAGAATAAAAACAAAGTTGTTTTGAAGCCTTTCCATTTTTTTTTTCTCTCTTTGTTGATTTTTCAGATTTCGAAGTAGATAGTAGCTACTAGCTACGCCCAGAATTTCGTTGGGCGGGGCTTTTAAAATTCAAGACGGAAAATTCTTTCTTTTATTTTGAAAAATTTTCGGTAAAAATATTTTTAATTCTTTATAAAATTCATTAATGCGGGCATTTATTTAACAAATGAGAATATTAATAAGGCAAAATCTGATAAGTTAAGGTAGTTATAACTTATAAATGGCTGAAGGCTTGTTTTTCGTTTCGAGCCGATAAATTGGATTAAAAAAAGCTTACAGTTAGCTTCAAATAGTTTTATTGACTTGATGTCAATACTATTATCCTCGTATAACAGTTATCCCCCCTGATTTCATTATCGGGATTTAGAAAGCAGCATGATTTCAAAAAGAGGAATAAAAAATATTTTTACAAATTTTTGGGCTGAAATCGGAAAATGGGGGCTGAGAGATGCGCTGATTCTGTGTGTTTATGGTGATTTAGGCACAGAGCTTCACAATGACAAAATGTTAATAAACTTTTCCCTAGAATTAAATAAAAAAGCTCGAAAACAGACCTTCGAAAACCGCGTCCTCGATTTGCCTATCGCCGCAGAAAGCCTTCCGTTGGACTAAACCGACGATTTTCGAAGTCAAACTGGCGCCACTCGACTGTAAGACGCATTTCCGGAACGCAACTTGACCTCAAACGCGCTGATTTCGACTACGGAATCGCTCTCTTTGAAGAAGAAGAGGAGGACGGGTCGGATACGGATTTCGATGTCGAATATGGTTGCCGTGATTTTCTGGCTCTCAGCTCTATTGGTGGATATGGAAGCTTGAGCTTTGACTCCGACGGGTACGAGGATACGGATGATGAAGAAATGGGATTCGCGGACGCAGAGATAGAACAGGAATGATTCTCTTGAGATTGTGAAACAGAAAAAAGCTTGAGTAGAGTCCTCCTTGATTTTTTATTCTTTGATGATGATTTTTGCTCAGTACATAATTCCAATCGCAGTACAGGGCTTTCCCGAGGGGAGGAATTCATCAACAAAGTCTTTGATTTGTTGGTTTTTGCTGATGATATTTTCCGCCGTCTAAGATAATTTGAACTACTCTCCGAAATAGAATTTTCATACCTTGAACAGCTTGGGAGAAAACTCCTCAAAGTCGAAGCCAATGACAGCATCTTTAGAAAAGATGTATGTGGTAATAAGAGACAACATGGATGTCAATCGAGCTAAGCGAGTCACCGACGCAGAAATTTTCGTTGGACTGAATGAGGCTGAGAAATTTTTTCGAAATCAGCGATTTTCGCGTTCATCATTTTTCGGAAAATTTCTGCCATTGCAGCAGCTCGTTTTTTCCTGTTTTCTGAAAGACATTGTTAAAAAGGGCTTTCTTTTTTCAATAAGAAAAGGGACCATCAGTATCGTCGACAAGCCTAAGAGTCCCCGGAAGAGTCGGAAATTGAGCAGCAAGCACGGCGAAAGTACCGATCCAAATCTTTGTTCGCGTGTCGATAAGAGTCTCCAACAGCATCTCTCCCTTTGCGTCCGTCAGCGAGCATTTCTCAAGCAACCCCGCTAAAATCACAAAATTTATTGCCGACCCAATTTCGGTCCGCGAAACCTGTCTTTGCAGCATAATTTTCGATTGCCCTGTCTGACAGAGCTGAAACCCATCAATTTCTCGAACTGGCAGCTGACCAAGAGGAAGTTCAAGATTCGCTTTATTCTCAAACCATGAGGAATTCATTAGAATCAGAATGTCTTCAAAATCCACATTTGCTAGCTGACACAAGAATTTTTAAGAGCAATTTATAATTTATACATTCAAATACCTTCAAAAACAATCTGATAGTTCCTCCGCGCCCGTAGCAGTCGAAATAAGTAAGCTTTAGTTTGCTCATTTTTCTAGCTCTCTCTGATTGGAAGTGACTATTTTATTGGCATGCTCAAAAAGAGCTTCAATGGTCAAATATTGACCGACAAAATTTATTTTTCCCATCACGTGTTAAATAACCATGTCCATTTTTAAGGAATTTTATGTTTTATGCGAACTAAAAAATCATAAAAAGGACGACAACAATTTCGAAGAAGGAATTTCCGGATCTGCTTCAGAGCGAGAAGATGACGCAGTCGACGCGGCAGAAATCGAAGAAGATCAAAATGCAATGACAGTCTTGGATTTCGGGATCGAAGAAATGGACGACGAAGACGGGGATTATCATGTGATGGCGGTCAACGCTGTCCATCAATATGTCGGCATGATCAAGTTTCTTTCGAGTGATGGATCAAGGATGATGGTGCAGGGCCAATCGGTAAAAAGAAAGTAAATCTGCCAGCAGAATCAAGTTTTTCAGGATTCCAGCGACGAGGAAAACGCTCTCGAGCTCAACATTGAAGAAAACTCATTTGAGAGCCAATCTGACGAAGCGGATTCAAGTGAAGTTTCAGAAGCATACTCTGAATTTTAAACGTCTTTTTCGGCTCTGCTATACTGTTAGGAAATAGATTTACTAATAGATCTTACACTTCGTTCTCTTCCTTGTTTTCATGATAATTCATCATTTATAAACGAAAATTAAAGTAAGTCTACATTGAATTAAGGTTTCATTGTCAAAGTTACTCTAGAATTTCTAATTTGCAATAGAATAATACATGTATAAATTTTTCGCGCTTGGATAAATCAAGAAATCATTTCAAATTGGCAGTGTCGCTCGAGCGGATTATGAAACGGCTCGTCGAAGTTATCGGCTTAGATCGGCACGATTTCACTTGCTCCCCACGTTTGCCGGACATGTGTGTTTGGATTTGACGAAACGACGCTGTATTCAGTCAATCCTGGATTTTCACCGGATAAATATTTTTCTAAAAGAAAAAATTTTTTTCATTCAAAATAAGAAAGATCGAAAAAAAAAAGAATTTCTATCTCAAGTGCAAAAATTCTCAATTCTTCAAGTTTTTTCTTCCAAAAATCGATGAAAAAAGGGAAAAGCGCAAGTTTACAGTCAAAATTCTCCCCTCAAGAGCTACTTGAAAATCTTAAGTTTTCAAAATTTTTGAGAAATTGGCTCTTCATTTCCCGGAAGAAGAAAAAATGTTCCATTTAAAGATGTTCGACTTTGAAACAAACAAATTTTCGATGCTTGGGCGTGAGAAAGAACTTCATCGTTTTGACAATGCTTGAAAGGTTTAAACCCTCGTCGGATCAAGCTCAAAAGCGCAAGAAGGAGACAAAGACTGTGTCAAAGTTTCAAGTTGAAAGCTCCCTTTTTTTACGGGTAATTGCATCTTCTCAAGTCCGTTTCAACTGTCAAACGCATTTTTGTTGGTAACTCAACTTGTCAACCCTTTCATAAATTTAGCTCTTCGCAGATTTTAATGGTGTGAGTCACACCGTGTGACAAGCTTTAAACTAAAATTTAAAGCGCTGTAATTTTTGAGTTTGTGTACTGACACCCTTTTTTGTTGAAATCTCTGTTTTATCAAAGAAACCCTGACTCAGGTTCCTGAAAACCTAAGCCTCAAGCTTTTTAAGGATCCTGACTCAGGATTTCTGAGTCAGGCTTTCTTTTATAAAACAAAGATTTCAACAAAATAAGGGTGTCAGTTAACAAGCACAAGAATAATTGCGAGGGACCCTGACTCAAGTTTTCGCGCCAATCTTCTTTTTTTCTTGAGAAAATTTTCGATTTTCGAGCAGAATGTCGAAAAACAGGCATTATCTCGAATCTTTGATAAATTTCATTTTGGACAAAAGCATATGTTTTCTGTCAAGAAACAATCCTTACTCATCTCCATTTCCTTGACAGTTGAAATTCACCCTGAATATTGTGCAACGATGCAACCCAGCGATTATGCAAAATCACCGCCCTTTCTGTTTTCGCCCGGAAAAGCCCTTCTAGCGGATTGAGTAATACTCAATTCTTTCTGGCTCTTTGACCGCGTATTTGTTGGGGTTTTATGTAACGAGGCTTATTTTGAGTAATTAGCGAGTTTGGACCTGACACCTGGGAAAAAAGTATTCCAGCGCGGACAAGTGCGCTAATGCATCAAATTTTGACACAATGTTATATCATGGGAAATTAAGGGTGATGGATTAGGAAGCTTGTAAGCTGTTTTCAAAATTTATAATGAGCTTTCACGAACCTTTTTTTCAAGAAATGCAGAAAAAATGATCCAATCTTTGCTCAGCAAATTTAATAATAACCTGACTCAGGCCCTGAGTATCAGTAGGTCGAAAACCTGTGTAAAAACCTGAGTCAGGCCCTGAGTATCAGTAGGTCGAAAACCTGTGTAAAAACCTGACTCAGGCCCTGAGTATCAGTAGGTCGAAAACCTGTGTAAAAACCTGACTCAGGCCCTGAGTATCAGTAGGTCGAAAACCTGTGTAAAAACCTGACTCAGGCCCTGAGTATCAGTAGGTCGAAAACCTGTGTAAAAACCTGAGTCAGGCCCTGAGTATCAGTAGGTCGAAAACCTGTGTTAAAACCTGACTCAGGCCCTGAGTATCAGTAGGTCGAAAACCTGTGTAAAAACCTGACTCAGGCCCTGAGTATCAGTAGGTCGAAAACCTGTGTAAAAACCTGACTCAGGCCCTGAGTATCAGTAGGTCGAAAACCTGTGTAAAAACCTGACTCAGGCCCTGAGTATCAGTAGGTCGAAAACCTGTGTAAAAACCTGACTCAGGCCCTGAGTATCAGTAGGTCGAAAACCTGCGTAAAAACCTGAGTCAGGCCCTGAATATCGAAAAAGCTGCAGATTTTCTTCTTCGCAAGAACTTAAAAACCCTGAGTCAGGTTTCACGACAGGTTTTCAAGCCAAAATTTTAATTTCTCAAGAAAACCTATTTTTATTTTGTCTAATAAAGTCACTTTTCTCTGGCCGGAAATATGCTATTGCCTCAATATTTATTGTTTTGAATAGTTTTTGAATCTTCAAGTTGAAGATGGCCTTTCAAGTCAAAATAAACTTTAAAATTTATTCTTCCGGTCAAAGTCAAAACCAAAGAAAAGAAAAGCGGAAGTACACGAGTCGCCTTTGAATTCTTCCAAAACAGGGCTGAGTGCGTTCAACTTCCGCCCCAAAAAAATCACAAAAAAAGAAGCCACTTTGTCGTAAATTTGCGCAAAAACATGAACAAGGTTTCGGTCGAATGGATTCGTACATTTTTCGACGACAGCTGAGCGGAACAGTCTTGAAAGGCCAAGGTGCTCTTTTGTCGAGAAAAAAGGGGATGAAGGGATCATTTGATCGTGGACTCGAGGATTTGGATCAGTTCACAGGATCATCCCTTCGTCTATTTGACCTTTCCATCTAAGGGCGTAATTCTGTTTTTCTTCTTGATTTTTCTTAGTGAGACCCTAATTTTTCGACCCGAAATGGTTCATTTTAGAGATGAGTCAGAATTTATGACAATAATTTTTCCAAAAAATACAAAAATACTTACTAAATATTTTAAAAAATGAAAACCAAAACCCGCTGGAAAAATGTCACGTGAGCCACACGCAGCCTCAACCCTTATTATTCGCATAATATCCTTCCCTCAATTAGTCTCCCTCCTTTTTTCACTTGCTTTTTGCCCACTTTGTATTATGTGTTTGTTACCGCACGGGCGAAAAACGCTGGTGGAATTTGCGAACACGGGGCAACCGGTTGTTGGTAAATAAAAATCGGTTCCGGCTTGCGTCACTCAAATATGTTACAGACATCTAGAAAGGAGACATTTTGCTTGTGTTGACATGTAGCGAGGTCAAATTATTTTGCTCAACATGTAAAGCTATTTTGTAACGCGAAAATTATCAATGAGGGGTGGCCTTGATCATTCGCTCAATTGCTGCAAGTGTGCCCTTGCTCACCTTTTTGGCCACGTAGCCTTCAGTCAGAACTATTTCAGGTTCGTGGCCAGAAGATGGACAAGGGCTTTCATGCAGAAATTTAGAGGATGAACAAGGCCCCCTTATAAATTGCTAGATATGTGCACTTGTTCATCCTTTCGGCCACGTAGCCTCCAGCTAAAGTCACGTGGCCGAATGATGAACAAGCGTATTTATACAGTAATTAAGAGGATGAACAAGGCCTCCCCTTTTTATATATTCACAGAATCTCCTCCTTCCCCTTCCAAATCACCATAAAATCTCCAATTCAAAAAAGGTGACAAAGAAGAAGAGGGATGAGAATTTTGAAAACGCAACTCAAGTTGAAGTGGTTTCTTCGAGATAAGCCCCGCCCGACCGATATTTTCCCACTGTCAAAAAGAAGAAACCTAAAATCGAACTTGACCGAAATAAAATCTCCCGCACCGACAAATTGACATGGAAATTCGAGGCTCGGTCACGTGGCCCTTTCAAATTTTTCAAGACATGTTTCTTTTTATTGGATCTTTGAAGATGATTTATTCCTTTCTTCTTTTCAAAAATAAATATAGAAATTATTTGAATAAAAAATTTTCATCAATTAAAAGTACACTTGACTGTTATCTTTCCTTCAAATTAGTGTTTTTAGTAAAAATACTTGGCCCTCAGAAAGCTTCGGCAATTCGCGTTCCTTTCTCGCAAATGAGCCCTTTTTCGCCACTCAGCTGATTTCCATCAAAGCGTATTTTCCCGAAAAATAAAAACAACCCCCTTTACCTCGGAAATCCTCAACTCCAGCTTGAGTGCCCTAGATCATCCCTTTTTCCCACTTCCATGTACAGATAACGGCCATTTCAAGTTGACTTCAACAGGAATGGACAGGTACTTTTGAGGCCTCACGACGGGTAGTAAGGGGTTTTATGGGGATTAAAAGGGATGAGGGTTGACGTAAAGCTCGATCGATTGGAGATTCATTTGTCAAATGGAGGGATGAGGAGAGTGACTTGATGGACTCACCCTTGAGCTTTGACAGTGACAAATAACGGACTTGAGGATCATTTTGGGTTATTAGGAGATTTCGGGGTTGAAATATTTATGAAGCATGAGTTTTCATTGAGCATCAATCCCTTGGCATTTAGTTTGGACAAATTATCAATTACACTCCTTGCAAGTTGCGGATTTTCTATCTGAGATATTAAAGCAGATTAATAGCTGGCATCTCAAGAAAAATAGGTAAAAGATTTTATAATGGTTCATGGATTTGATTGAGAAAAAATTTCATACTGAATAATCAGAAAAGAAACTTATGGTCTCCAGTAAAAGTCGCTCTTTAAGAGTATCCCAGATACAGTATGTCACATACATACATACTGTATGTGTTATACTGTTTGCCCATTCTCCTAAAAGCTATGTTTGTAATAATTGTGTATGCTCTAGCGGTTTTCTCACGTGACTGGTGCTCTTGATCTTGACCAAAACCCAAATTACAAAAACCTTTTGTCAGCTTGTGTCACATGACCGCAAATATCTTGTTTTCATATTGTCCCCTACATTCCTCAATATCCAAAGAATGCTACAAAATTGACCAATTTGACATTGTTAAACACCGAAATTTATATCATTCATAAAAAACTGATGCGTCGGCTCATCAAAAGTCCCATTAAAAATTTAACGATTCAAGGTGGAAATTCAATGGTACTTGAAATTGAATTTGACATTGACGATTCGACGGGCTGTCTTTTTTTGTAAATCCTCGGTGTTTTTATGTTCCCGCGCTGGATTAAGGGCGTCTCTTCCCCTTTTTTTCTCATTATTTATGCAATATTTATTCCTCCCATTCTTTCGAGGTATGAATATTTGTCAACCCTTCTTTTCTTTAAAATGATTTGTGTACGATCACGTGGGTGCATGAACTTGAATCACGTGACCTAGTGAGCGAGGTTAAGGGTAGCTTCCGAGTTGGGCGCCATTTCCGGAATGAGAGCTTTTGATCCGCGGATCTGTTGATCATGAACCTGCGGAAGTTTGATAACCACGTGATCCGGTAAAAGAGGGTTCAAAAAAGGGATCAAAATCGGATCATCATCCAAAATCTTTGTATAATTCATTTTTTTTCATTCATGAGCGAAAACGCCCTTTGAATTTGAGATTAATTATTAGCATTGTAACACCCTTATTTGCTGCTTTTTCAGAGAAATAAGGGTGTCACAATGCTTATAATAAATCTCAAAATTAAATAGGAGTTTTCGTTCATGAATGAAAAAAAAAATGAATTTAGAAAAAGATTAAGGGTGTCAGAGTCTTATTCTCAAAAAATGATATTTAGAAAATTTTTATTTTGTCATCTTATTCAATTTTAAACGTCATTGGTTCCTTGAACTTTTCAATATCTCCCCGACCAAAACAGCAAAACACAGTTCTTGCGTCTAATCCCTCTTTTTATTATATTTTGATGCCGCTTTTGAATATCGTCGGCGGATGAAAGAAGCTTGCTTCCATGTCATAATTCGCTGTTTAGATATTTTGGGAGACATTTCGCGCAAACTCAAGACCACAAAACATGCGGCCAAGGGAAAAAATATTTATTGCGCGAAATAGCAACAGCATTGCGAAATTCATTTCCGGAGGAAGGGGGGAAAAAGATTGTTTTTCCGGGTTGGTTGTGAATTTTTGATGAAACAAGAGCTTGATTTTTCATAAAGAAAGAAAATTTCGAAGCTTTTCTTGAAATTTTTTTATTGATTTATTCATAAAGAAAATATTTTTCATTGACGAACGAATGCCTTATAAATCCTAGGGATATTTTTAGAGCTATTTCACCCGGCTGTTCATCTAAAAATCCGATAAAAACTAATTTTTCAAAGCTTTATGGTTCCCAAAATCGAAAAAAATTGCGTCCCTGGGTGGGCTCGAACCACCAACCTTTCGATTAACAGTCGAACGCGCTAACCGATTGCGCCACAGAGACTTGGGCACGCACTTGACTAACGATTCATTTAGAACTCTTCGAAGAAACTATCCGACTCCTGCCAAAATCTGCTGGAGAAAATGATGAGTCATCGAGTTGAAGAGCGCCCGACTTTCGGAGAGATTCTTGCGCACCCTTGGTTAAAAGATACTTTTCCGACTTTCAACTAAATGCTCTTCTCTTTCTGTAAATTAACATGTTGAAACCCTTAACCGCCAAAAACGCCCAAACCACTTCCCTGACCATTCCAAAAAGAAACCAGCCAAAAACATGTCCTGATTTTCCAAAATGGAAAAATCAATCTTATTCTAGCTGTAACACAACTGTATATTGCCAAACTGTAACTGTACATATCATCATTTGTAAATAAGAAGCGCGAAAAACATGTCAAAACCTAAAAACCTGCCGAGAAACAACAATAAAAACGAATAAAATCAAGCAAAAAATAACCAAGTTTTTCATCTTTGCAAATGCCCTGGGGGAAAATGAAAGTGAGAAATTTGGGCACACATGTCTCTGTGGCGCAATCGGTTAGCGCGTTCGACTGTTAATCGAAAGGTTGGTGGTTCGAGCCCACCCAGGGACGTTGTTTTTGAGATTCTAGCGCTGTTTTCTTACCTTTGATGAAATTTTGTTTTCGACGATGTCTTCTGTGTTGTAAAACGGAATGTCTCCAAAAACCAAGACATGAAGAAGCGTTCCAAGGCTCCAGACTGTACTTGGCTCGGCCCGGTAGCTGTTTTCTTTGAAAACTTCTGGCGGGAAGAATTCTGGTGTTCCGGAGACGGAGGAGTAGACCCGATTCTTGTCGAACTCGGTGGCGCAGCCGAAATCGATGAGTTTGACTTCGAGGGTTTCCGTGTCGACAAGGATGTTTTCGTCTTTGATGTCCCGGTGGAAGACGGAGGAGAGGGATATATCCTTGCAGATTCTCACGATCTAGAGATAGATTTGAGTCAAGAAAATTTTGATAAATACGAGAATTCTTCTTTTTCTGGTAAAAATTTATAAAAATATATGTTAAAGTTATCGATAGTTATAGGCATTCGTATTCAGTTGTTAGTTTATTAATCGCGGCGAAAAACTAAGGCTTGGTTTTAAATTTTAATACCTGATGGAAGATGATTTTCGCTGGGTCTTCCTTTAGCGATCCATATTTAGCAGAAAGGTCGAACAAATCAACTGAATTCTTTGGCCTTTCCATCACCAAGACAAAGCTGGTTTTTCGCTCGAACCAGTCGAAGATCTGCAAAGAAAGGTTAGTCGATTGTTTGAAGGATGAAAGAAAGTACCTTGACAACTCCTGAAGAAGCTTTGGCAGCGTTGACATGCATGACGAATTCGAGGGGAAAACGACGGCCGCCAAGGTTGCCGAAATTTGTCACGCGCGATTTGGGAACTTGTTTGATGCACACCTCCGTCATGTCGGATTTTCGGTACCCTGGAATAGAAAATTAAGGTTTTTACAATGAAATGTTGTTTTTCTGAAAAAATTCAAAATTCAATCAAATTTATCAAAAAATAAAAACTAAATTTTTTATTCAAAAATGAAAGAAAAATATTTTTATTTTAATTAATTCATAATTTCATTTTAAAAATATCTTTTTTGTAAATAAATAACTAACCTGTATAAATAACCCCGTTGGCCGAATTGTAAAAGACTTTTCTCACATGATACTTGTTCTTGAAAATGTCTCCTTCTCTATCAATCTCTTCTTTCGTCGCTGCTTCTCCAAGATCAACTTTTCTGATTTTCGCGGACTTTGGGAAGTCGCTAGAATCTGCCCCAGAATGATCCGAATTGTAGCCTTCATCGGATCTTCTCTTCAGCGGGCGAACTGGAATCAGCGGGGCTTCTATTATCTCTGGTGCCATTTTTGGGCAATTTTGGGTGAATTTTGGATAATTTCCAAAAATAGAAAAATTAGGTGAACGTAAAAATTCAAGTTAAGATTAGGTCAAAGTAATCCAAGTGAACGTCGTTGGCGCGCTGCCACCGAGCTGAAAACTTTTTTCTTCTCGGGAGCGCCATCTTTGGCCACTCGATGGCGCGGCGCCAGCGCATGGGTTATTTTTGCTAATAGATTGATAGTTTATCAATGATAAAGAAAATCAAGATGAACAAGAACCTCGAGATAATTCTGATAATTTGCGCTTGTCGATAAATTTCAGTATGTAAAATGCAGCTTTCTCAAATTTTCAAATATATTATGGTCTTTATATTCGGAAATAAATAAGCTCGCCAGACAAAATCGCAGTTTTTGGCTCAAATGATATTTTTTAACTTTGAATTCATGCTAAAAATTCGATTAAAAAGGCAGAAAATCAAAGAAATTAGTAAAAAATAATTATGACAAGTTTCATTATTTTTAATCGACATAATTTTTATTAAAGTTAGGGTTCACTTTTCGACCAATCCGACCGAAAAATCGACCATCTTCTCGAGCATCGTAGCTTGAAGCTTTTGATTTAAAGATTTCTTCAAATGAATTATTTCCCCTGTCAAGTTTGGAATCTGTTTGAAATAACTAACATCAAGGCTACTAAAAGATTTCGTTTGAAACTCGCCTTCGACTTGGTAAAATCAGCGATGCTTGCGAAATTCGCGCCTTTTCGACAGATTCTTGCAGCTCGGCGGAGGCTGAACTGGATTATACTTGAGCACTTTTCAATAATCCCAAATCATGTCGAAAAAGAAGTTTTAGGCAAATTCGAGCGAAACCCTTCCTGAATCGCCGAGTGCCAAAATATTTTATTTGCATGTGATTATGTCACTCATTTCCGAGGAAAGGGGTTTGTTTGGGCTCTCAAGAAATACACAAAAAATCCGAAGAAAATATTTTTCGACAACTTAAACGATGAATTTTTTTGTAATTTTGACTCAAAAAATTTTTTTTTGACTCGAAAAATTGGGATGTTGTCAGAAACCGACAAAAAATTCCGACAAATTTTGCGTTGAAATTTTCAACCAATCAGAAGCACGGATTCGGCAAACTGACCAATCAACAGTCGAGTAGCCGCACATGCATAATTTGTCGAATTTTTATGTCGGTTCCAGGCACCTTCAGAATAACGATGGGGGGTCCCTTAATTCTCGGATCATTTTTGATAGAAACTAACTGGTTTTAAAACTGCTCTTTGATCCATCTAATTTGCCTTTGATACCCCCTCTTCATTATTTTCCTGTCTCGAAGTTGTGTATTTCTGCAGGTGCTCCCCTCTTTCTATCTCAGTAGCTCCCCTAATCCAAAAGTATTTTCAAGTGTCTTTTTCCCCGCGTTTGATGCCTCGGTATTTTTTTGCCTTCTGAGTTTCCAAATTTCAAATTTGTCAAAAAAGGGATGATCAATTGGCTAATCCGTCAAAACTCGAGGGGCCGATCAAAAGTAGGTCCATCCGGTCAGCGAAAAATACGATATTTGGAGAGAAAATCCATTCCGCGCGGCGAAAAAAGGAGGATTTTGTTTGATTTCAGCACCTTTTATGTTGCAAAATCGCATCATTACGGGAAAATGACGATCTCAAATCATCCCTCTTTTCCGACTCGATTTTTCAGCTGTTCAATTTTGTCCAAAAACTTGTCGACCGAGCTTTTTCAATATTCAATAATTGCTCTTTCCTTGTTTCCCATGGCCGAGCAACAATTCTCAAATAAAATGGTCACGTGTCTCGCTTCCACTATTTCTTCTTCTTCTCAGCTGTGTGTTCACTGACCCCTTGTGCGATGTTTTCAAACATCTGCTTTATGAGTTTTGCCTGCCCAAAATATTGAAAGAAGAATTGTCCTTTTTTCAGCGCAAAAAGGGATGAAGAGTTTATTGAGAAGTGGTCTCGAGTGGTACGAATATGAGTTTCAAAAAGATGAGTATCCCCTCAAACTCGGACTTCTCTGGTTTTCTGTTTTCATGAGCCTCTGTTTTTTCAAGACTGACAATGAGCCAGACTTGAGGGGGGTTTAATGAGCCTGAATTGAGAAAAAAAGGTTGAAAGGAGGCAGATTTACTTAAAGAATAAGGCTTTTATAATGAAACCTCGGCAGAAAAGCCCGCTCGAAAATCGGGGTTAACGACGAGATACCCTTAAAATTTCGTTATCTCTCTTTTCTTCTCCGGCTGTATTTTTATTAAATTTTTCTATCCCTTTCAAGTTCTCTCCCAAACTTGATCAAACTTGAGCTTTTTTGCTTATGCAATTTGTGATCCCCTTTCTTTCCCAGCTGCTTAAGGCGCTCTCTCCCTAAATATACAACTTATGCAACCTCCCCTAAATATCAGGTGAGGATTTAAGAGTTTCAAGGCGGTACCCTCCTTCAAAAATGTCAAAACCTTTCACTCCTCTTTCTTGAGACTTAAAACTTAAGCTCCAGCTGGGAAAGAAGAGAAAAAGGATGAGATAAGGGTAAACAAAATCTGGCGGTTTACAAGGCGAGAGATTGTGTAATAACCGGAAGTCGGGGCGGGCAAATTACCGGGAAATCGAAAGCGGTAAGGGGATTTCCCATAAATAAAGGGGGCGATAAATGGGGTGATAAGCTGCTAATTAGGCTGATTAGGGCAATTTTTCTCATGATTTTCGGAAGAAATTTTTTTTGACGGACAAGTTAAGCTTTCATTGAATATCTCCTGTTTTTAAGGGTATCGAGCAGGCAAAATCCTTTTTTTAAGAGTTTTGAAAAAATGCATCTCGTGATATTTCCTTGAAAATTTTAATGGCCCTAATCAGCCTTGATCCCCTTACCGCATTTCCTCGGCGCTACCCCTTAATCCCCTCTCTCTCCCCACTAATCGCAATTTTCCCCCTTTCGGAAGCAGGTGAGATTACATCACCACCTCGCCTGTACTTATTATCAAATTGCTTATTAGAATTAGCTCGAAAAAAAATGGTCAAGTACTCAAATTGCACTCGAGCCGCTTCGGCGCCCAATTTGAACCTTGAGAAACGGCGCGCTTTTTGAAATGTAGAATTTTTGCGCTAATTCCACTCGCGGCTTTTTTGCGTAAGACGGGAATTAGACAATGACCTTGGAGCGGAGGAAGGCTTTGTGGTCATCGGGGAATTTTTAAGTATCCAAAATATTATTTTTATCGAAGAAAAAAAGCTCTTACTTTTTTACAAATGATCTAAAACCGGAGTAAGAGCAAATTTTCTTCTTTCGTTTTTGCCATAAAAGTGAATAAAACCGGATCAAATAAAAATGTCACGAGAAATCCCTTGGTCGCAATCTCGTCCTCCTTATGACAAAGTAAAACTCAAGAACACAAGAAAAAAAAAAGAGAAAAAAATGACGACGGGCTTCGATGGCGGAAAAAGCCAGGATCAGGGAGTCGATGGCTACACCATCCCCTTTTACCAGAAAAAAGCCTTCATGACCGCGGTGAGTTGCGTGATTGCTTGGATCGTGATGATCTGGTGCTGCTGCTGCTACTTTGGGAAGAAAGTCTGGAGGGCACACAACAAGGACGATGAAGAAGTGGTCGCGACGGTCCCGAGAAAGTCGAAGTTCGAGCCTGGCCCCATTTCTGAAATCATTCAAGAATGCGAATAAACAAAAATAAAAGTTTTTCCGTTAATTTTTTTTCGGAAGTGGAAAATCTGCGAACGCCGTAAAACTTGACAGAGTTGACTTTCGCTTTTTCACTTTTTTCATGTGTGTTTTTTATTGTGTTTCACAGGCGTCGGAAATTGCAAAAACCGGGAAAAGTGTCAAAGGTGGGATCAGTGCCAACTTCCGCCCGCCGCGAAAAATCGAGTCCTTCCTAGATTTTTTCCGACTCGCTGGTGTTGCGTAATTAGTGCGCGATATTTCCGGATCAAGGTGAATTTTGAGGCAATAGGAGTTGGAAATTCAAGGTTTTTTTTGATGCCCAACTGATGACCTGGGCTTCCTGTTTTGGGACCCTGTGTTGAAACCTGACTCAGGGTCCTAAAAGGGCTAAAGTTTTATGGAGCTTTCTGTCTTTGCCATTTCAGAGCCCTGACTCAGGTTTCTACACAGGTTTCGGAGCTCAGGTCTGAAAAATAGCGAAAACCGACAATTGACACGTGATCCCCCGGCAGAACGGCCGACTGATTAGCTTGAGTAAATTTGTATTGTCAACATTCTTTATTGGGTATTATTATTTTACCGAAAGAAAACCCCTTTTTCTATTGATATTCTCCGAAGCTTTTCTGACCTTTTCAGGTCGCGCTGAATTCGCTCGAGCGAGCAAAGACTCTTTGAACATTTTTTCTTCACGCGTCTTTGTTTTTGAATGAGGATTTCCGTGTTTTCAAAACGATCAGTAGGAGTGTCGCCTTTTTTGTAAAAAATATTACTGTAGTTGAAGCCTTATTTTCTTGTTTATGACTCATACTGTATGAGTCATACTGTATGACTCATACTGTATGACAGGATCGGGCAACCTGCGTCGAAAGCCTGAGTCAGAGTCTGAAAGATCATTCTCGAATCTTTCAAACCCTGACTCAGGTTTTCGACACAGGTTCCCGACTTGATCCCTCATCAAACTAATTCCCCTCGATTTGGCTTGGCCGGTGTCCAAAATCATCCGCTAATGAATCGGAAGTGAGTAGCGGTCGGTCATTATCAAACTCGGACACTCGACGCGCGAAGCTGTTATGTAAACCCTGTCCCAGCTTATCTCCAGCCGCGTTTACAAAATCTTTAAACATGAACTTGAAAACTTGGGCGCGCCTTAAAATTTCAAAAATTTCGAAAGTTTCGAAAGTTTTACGCGATAACGACCAGTTTATGAAATAAGCTCGAGCATATGTTTTGCTTGTGAAAAGGTAAGCCAGCCGTAATCCCAAGTACACATCAATTCGTGATAAATTCTCCTCCACCTGGGTTTACAATATTCAATATTGGCTGAACCCATTTTGCGGCGAGTTTGTATATTGTCTACGAGCCCTTGAACCTCTTTCGTACAAATATTTTCGCACCATCTTGACGTTGAATTGAGGACCCTATTTTCAATGATCCAAAGGATGATGATTGACCTTGGTCACGTGACCACTTTCAAACATTGTAAGAGCCTCAAAGAGGAATCAACTTTTTGATTGTTAAAATATCATTCTTTCTATGCAAAATATTGCCAAAATAAGTCATTATTCTTAAAAGTTAAAAGAGTTCTAGCTTCAACTTTATATAAACTAGTTTATTTTGTTGCCGGAAGTGAGCTTTGGTGACACAATTTTTTCCCATTCTGAATCTATTCATTATAAGACCTGTAGAAGAGAAAATTGAATAAAATGAAACTTAACCATTTATGAATTCTTTTGAAGAAATCATTTTTATGAAATTTTTGAATACAAAGAAAAGAGAATAAAATGAAACTTGACTTTCTGATGCAGAGGCGGAATCCATTCCACCCATTGTTGACATAAAAATTACTGATCAATAAAATATATTTCAAAATGATCATTTTCGATTTCATTTTTCTTGAATCTCGAAGAAATAAGGGTGTTGCTTCATTATCTTTTTGAGAAAAAAAAATTGAAAATTTATCTTTTTTATTGGCTCTGCTTTAGCTATCTACCTATTTAGTACTACTTTTAGTAGCATGTCAATCGTCTGTTCAAAAAACATGACGGGAAAAGTGCACCGATTAGAGTTTTCCTCGGAAAAGCTGCCGGAGTCGACTTTTGTTAACATCTCGTCCCAAGAAAGGGTCGAAGTTGTATTCCAAACACACGTGACAGGAGCAATAATGGACCGGTTAATTAACGAGCTCAATCAAGCAAAAAACACGACAATCGACAATCAGGACTTTTTGTCTTTTCCTAAGTACACAAAATTGAAATTTCCTCCTTCCTGGTAAAAATAAAGGTCCTTCATCAAAATCAGGGCTTTTCTATTCAATTATTTTTACTATGCTTATTTCTTATTTACATTCTCGATGCCTTCCAAATCGACGAACAGTATATAAAATATCGGCTTAACTCGAGAAATCCGACATGTAAAATTCATTGCGTATCGACATTTAAAATTTGATAAATATCGACAAATTTAATGGACAATAAAAGAGACGGAGCCGTGCTTGAACAACCCGAACTTTGGTGACCCAAAGAACATCACTTACTATTCGATTTTTCGGAATTTCTTAAGGACCACGCCAAATACAGTAAGTATGGATATTGAGGGACAAACTCAAAGGAAAGTTTCAAGCAATTATTTTATAAGCGCTTAGTTAGAAGCAAAATGAAACTGAATTAAGGCTTTGGCATGTAATGATCTTTCCACTTCTTCCGTCAATTTTGTTGATCGTAAGTCATTTTACTTTCATATTTGGCTTCCTTTTCTTTGAATGTAAGATGGCAGGGACAAAATCAAAAAAAAATTTGATGATTTTTCTAGTTTTTCAGGGAGCTTTGTTCTTCTTCACCTGTTTTCATCGAAAACTTAACGAGTTGGAGCCGGAACAACTCTATCAACAGCATTATCGACATCGAAATCAATCAACTCTTTCAGTGTCAAAGCATGACTACTGCGAATGTCTTTCTTATGTTTGAATTTAAAGCTTCGAAATATACTTAAACCCTGCGATATATTCACCTTTCTTATTTATGAAGCTCAAAACTGATCCGTCGGTTTATCGACTTTCAAGTGTTCAAATTGCAACTCGAAAGGATTCCACGAAAAGGCGCAACATTTTCAAATTTGAGCGGCGTCAACCCTTTTTCGTTTTTCTGTTTTCGCATCAAACAGAATATGCAAATGTGTGTGCGCGGCGGCGGTGGGAGAAGGGTTGAAGGTTTACGATCAACCGCCTTACATAATCCCGTAAATATCGTTCTTAGAGGTCACGAATAAATTTATCGCTACATTCTTATTCAAGCTCCTTTACAGATTGCAGAGCGTAAAAAGTCACCCTATTTAGCTCATTGAGGGGGTAGATATCGAGAATCGGATTTACTGTCACTGTTTTGTCAAATTTTTAACAAATTGACCCCCTTATTTTTTTGCTCAAAATTCTTTTCAGACAATTATCTCTTTCCTATGGAAGCCAAAAATTTGGATATCTTGAGCTTTCGAGAAGCAACAATGCAAATCAGTCACCTTTGATTGTCGCCAAAATGACCATTTTAGGAAAGTTCGCGTTCTTTGACGAAAAATTTTGTTCAAAATTTTTTTGAAATCGGAAATTTCGGCTTCTATGAGAGATTAAAAAAGGTCTAAAGTTTTTGTCGCCAAAGTAAAATAAGGGTGTTACTATTTAAACTTTGAGAGAAAAGTATGACGGAAAATGGCGATTCTCGATATCTACCTCCTTAAATCAGGCTTTTAGATAAGTTGTCCAGCCCGGTTTAAGAGAAAAGCTTTGATATTCAGCTCATTAGACTCATCATACTTGAGCCGTCAAAACTTGCACTTCCGTCTAGACTTGAACTTGGGCTCAGTTCCAGCCACGATGGTTTCTGTTCTTGAGAAGTTGAATGGTAGTGTTTTTGTTGGTTGAGTGCTCGTTAGAATTTACCGGCGATAATGACCGCGCGGTGATTTCCGCTTTTCAAATGTTGTGTCTTGGCCACGCGCCAAGAAGGCCAATGTCAAGTTCGCATTTTTGGTGATTGAATTAGGCGTAAATGCGATCAGCCGGGCGCGCCCTGAGAAAATACGGAAATCGTACTAATTTTCCAAATAATGAGATTATTTTCTACTAAGGCTAAATTGTCGATACTGGAACTTCTCCAAGAAAAGCAAAATTATAAGCTCTATCTAATTGCACAAACACAAGGCATTAAATCAGTCAAATATACGGCTGCTACTATTTTCTGGAGTTTGAAAAATTTGGAGTAAAATTTCTGTAGTCAATTTTCATTTTAATTATAAAACTGGAGATTTTTTTTTCTGGACCTGTTTCTCAAAAAATTTCACCGATCCCATTTGGACCAAAAAATACACCTTGTTCAAACCCATTTCTAAGGGTGTTAAGGGCCTCCCGGCCCCCTAAAACCCTGATGAAAACCCGGCTCGGGGCCCGGGCTTTCTTATGCCCCAGTCAGATACCCTTAATTATTACTCTAACACCCTTAAAAATCGATCTGAACAAGGTGCTATTTTTGGTCCAAATGGAATCGACGAATTTTTTTGAGAAAATGGTCCAGAAAAAAAAATCACCAGTTTTATAATTAAAATGAAAATTGACTACAAAAATTTTACTCCAAATAGTAGTTGCCCAAATATACAGTCCAAATATCTGATTAAAAACAACGGATTAAATTTTACACACAGTCATTTGCAGGAACTTCAAAAATAATGGGAATAAAACCTTCGAAAATGGATGAAATTACTCGTTGGTTGATCAATTTCTTCGAAATCAAGTCGTTGAATTCTGTTTGGACATTGCTGTGTGCACGCACCGCCAGAAATGATCGAAATTGAATTGCCAATCATTATTGCAGATGCAGCCTCGTCACTGACGAGTCGTCAGCCTTCATTCAAATCTAAAATTTTTTATAGTTTTACAATTCACGATTTGACGCTTCCCGATTTCCGTCCAAATTTTGTTTTCAAGAACGAAAATAGCATTCCCGCTCGGAAGACCCATCAAAACATGACAAACGATTATACATCATTGTTCTCATCAATTCAAACATTTAAACAGAGTTTTATGATTTGAAATTTATTGGATGACCATTAAGGGTACTACCTTCGATTTTAAAAATAGGCTTTATCTCCAAAGGACATAAAAGTGGTTCTCAAAAATAAATTCTACATAAAATTCTATCTAAGTTTGATATTGAAAGAATTTTGAAATTCTTGACCACTCCCAAGATATGGGCTCTAGAAGTTTTTTCGGAGAAAATTTTTGGTCTTCGATTTTCTCGAGTAAGGGCTTTTTTGAAAGCTTAGAGCAAGGGGAGTATTTTGGTGGGCTTAAAAATGCTCTCAGTAACATACTTTAGATTCTAGAGGCAAAAATGTGTCGCAAACTTTTGAAAAATGCACAATTTCGGTAAAATTACCGATACACAATTTTCAAAAAATTATTTTTAGTGTCTTTCTGCTTTCAATCGTCAAATCCTTCTGACACATTGAAGATAAAGCTCTATTGTACATTTAAAAAATTAAAGAAGGCCATGTTAACAGACTAACTTCCGAGCTATTCGACCGTGAATAAAGTCAATTTTGACATAGTTGACCACTTTGACCTAAAATTTAACCAATTTTTCGTTGAGCACTCCAAAAACGCTTCTGACAAATTAATGATCTAAGATAGATCTACTTAGAAACCCCATTGGATTTCCGATTTCTTTGACATTTTCCGAGTTATTCAATGGGAAAGTTGCGGAAATCGAAGGTATTACCCTTAAGGACATATTAAGATGGACAATAAAGAATCAAGATGAATTTCTTAAGCATGATTATATTTTTACAAAAAAATTTGAATGATTTCATTCACATTGAACGGTTTTCGGCAACTCGGGCAGATCTTCGGGTTGACTGTATTCAAGCATGATTTGCAAAAAGAATGCCCGCATTTTATGATGCATGAACGTTGATGAAGATTTGTATCGTAGGGAAGGCAGCAGATTTTACAGCAGTTCTCGTCTACTTGATCTGTAAATATTTTAAGCAACAGTCTTTTGAATTTAATCAACCTTTAGTAAGTTGTGGACTTGCTGTTTTCTCCCGAAGTTTTTCTTTTTTCTTAGTAAGTAAATTCATTTTCACATTGATATCCTTTTTATTTCGTTCATGCTGCTTATTTTCCAGCTCGAGATTGTTTATCTTGGAGGTGTTATCATAAATCTTCTTGTCAATGGTGGTGAGCTGTTTCGATAACTCTTTTTCTTCGATTAAAATCTTCCCTAACTCATTCCTCAATGATTGCAATTCATTTTCTCGGGAGTCGAGGTTTCTCTCAATATCATCTTCTGGAAAACGAAGACCGCCTGACGAAAATTCGCATCGTTTATAGTGTTCAAAAAATTCTTTAAAGGTCAAAGAAGCTCTGCACTCAATAAAATAGCATTTGAATCGTGTGGTAAGCTGGGATGGATTAATTGTGTGAAAATTACGAGTTCCACAGCCGCAGTCTGTTCTGTGCTTGAGATTTTGCGTTGCGACGCAATCCATGCAAAAATTGTTGACATTTCTTCGCGAACTGCATAAATTATTGTAAGACTTTTCTGGAACCACTCTAAAAGAGTAAAATATCTTTCCGTTTCACTTCTACAGAACATACGAGCAGATTTGGCATTTGAAAACGCGCTTCTGTTCTATCGAATGCATTTGATCATTGTATTCTTCGAACCGGTAATTACCATCCAAATACTTTGCTGGAATCTCTTGTTTTTCGATACTCAAATAGCCTCTTTTTTGTGACATATCTGCGTATAAACGACAAAACGTGCGTTCGAAAGAGGGAGAAGGAGTTTTTTAATATCGCTTAATATTTGCCAAGCGAAATTCGCCGGAGGAGTCTACTCATTCGGGTGACGGGCAGCCACGTTTTTCAATTCTTACAAATTAAATCTTTAAAATTAAATATTTTTTGACGGGAAAGGTCAAATCTTTAATTTTTCAGTGACAACAACGGGTCTTTCCAAAATTCGTTACAATAAATGATGTCGTTATAAAATTTTATTGGATAAATGTGAAGGTCAACAAAAGAAGAAGAATCATATAGAAATTTGAAAACGAGCGTTTTTTTATAAGAAAATTTGAATGATTTCATTCATCCTGAATGGTGTTCTACAAATCGGGAAGATCTTTGGATCGACAGCGTTCAAGCAAGATTTGCAGAAAGAATGGCCGCATGTCGTGATACATGAACGCTGGTGAAGATTTGTATCGAAGAGAAGAAAATAGATTTTGCAGGAGTTTTCGTCCGCTTGTCCTGAAATAATACAAAAATGAGCTGTTATTCTATTACCTTCATAGGCCGCTGGAGCTGCAGGTTTCTCTCGAATGCATTCTTGCTTTTCTTTTAATATATTTAGCTTCTTCTCAGTTTCAGTTTTGTCTCGTGTAAGAACCTCATTTTCCTGCAGAAGATTTTCTGTCTTTAATGAGTTATCTCTTATCCTCTTGTCAACTGACTTCAGATGATCAGATAGCGATTTCTCTTCGTTGAAAATTTTCTCAAATTCTTTCCTCGTTGATTGCAGTTCATTTTCTCGGGAGTTGAGGTCTCTTTCGAAGCCATCAGGAAGACGAGCTTCTATTGCTTCTTTGTTGCCTTCATTCACTGGTATGACTTCTTGATCTTCAGGAAAGCGAGCTCGGCCTGTTGGAGCAGGGGTCTGGATTCGCTTAGCGATTTCGCTCATGAGCGATTTCGCTTTTTGTAATTTCAATTCGCTTCGCTTCGCTTTCGCTTTTAGTAATTTCAGTTCGCTTCGCTTCGCTTTCGCTTTTCACAAAAAAATTTTTTTTAACTTTTCAGAACACAAAATGTGTGAAAATAATTCAAAAATCAACTGATTTGTGAATTTTTTGGATTCTATCCGTCTTAAATTAAAATTTATTCGTCACTTGAAGCTACCTGGAGTCAAAAAGTCAAATTTTTTGGGTTTAAGTTGAAAATTTACAGTTGTAAACCCTATAGCAGCGCTGAATTTGAAAGAAATAATCTATCGATTCGGCCAATTTTAGCCTCCAAAGAATTGGGAAAGATTTCGCGATTTTTCGCTTTTTGAGAAAAATTTTCGCTTCGCTTCGCTTTCGCTTTGGTAATTTTGATTCGCTTCGCTTCGCTTTCGCTTTTAATTTTCAGAAAATTTTCGCTTTCGCTTTTCATTTTCGGCCAAAATCCAGACCCCTGGTTGGAGCGAATTCGCAGCGTTGATAATGTTGGAGGAATTTTGTGAAAGTCAGGGATTCCTTGCATTCGAGGTAAAAGCAATTGAAGCGAATTTGCATCAAAAGATGACAAAGATCCATTCGATAATCAAACTGTCTGCAATTACAGTTTGGCCTCTACTAGGGTTTGCAAGTATTCGCGTGTTTTTTCAATGAAGAATTTTGCCCACCCTAAGGCTTATGAACAAAATTTTGCTGCGACAAACAATCCATACAGTAAACATGATTCGCAGGCTCTCCATTGGAACATTGAAAGTTGCAATAGAATTTTATCGCAATTACACTTTAAAATTAAATCACGAATACTTATCATATGGCAAAAAAAAGTGCAGAAATGATGACTTACTCACAAATTCTGCACTTGTTCACGAAGGTCTTTCCTTTCGTAAATGCCCCGCTCTCAAAGTAGTAATTTCCAGTCAAGTATTTTGCGGGAATCTCTTCTTTTTCAACACTTATTTTGCCCTTTTTTCGCGACATTTTGAGACAAATGCATGATGGAAATGATTTTTAGTATCAGGTTATACTGTATTTGCTAAGAAAAAATTTGCTCAATGAGATTCGCCCACAAGATCTTATTATTAGTACAGGTCATTTACTCGTATTTACAGAACGGTCAAATACGCACGGTTTTGACCATAAAACCCGTCTATTATGAGATTTATTCTGGGAAGAGTGTTATTTGTTGCTCAAATTTACCTACAACTTTGTACTGAAAGAGCTAAGTTTGACTCGCAGACAGAGAATTTTTTCTTATGGCAGGTAAGATCTTTAAAATTAAGCAAAAACAAAAGAGGATTCAGACAGTAAGAGTGGTTTCGACCTTGTGTGGGATCGGCTACCGCATCTTTCATGGTATCAGTTCCGAATCACAGCTGTTGGCGGGGTAGCTTCGTTAGCTGGAGGATTCATGTCGATGTACCCCGTTTTCGCGCAATATACTGTAAGCAATTACTGTAGCCCCTCGATTTTTAACCATTGCGCTAGCCTCCGTATCGATGCACTAGCGCTTTTGACCACCTTGGTCTGGCAGACAAATTCTCTTTCGACGAAATCTTCGAACTATCAACTGATACTCAATCTTGTCAAAACTTCGATTCTTCCCAAGATGGCGGTTGTTTCCATTGCAATTTTTCCAACGAAACTGTCGCTGGCTGCGACTCTTCCAGCTTTGACAGCCTCAAAGCTTGCCTGGTTAAAGATGCACAAGAAAAATCAGAGTGGGTCGCTTGCGAGAGTTACGAATATGACCGATCGCTGCGTGAAAATGTCACGAATCTGATGTTCGACAAGGGAGAGCCATGGGAGACTGCGGTCCCCCAGTTTACTTTGCACTGCGGAATGGAATGGTTTGACTCTCTGTCAACAGCCATGGGCTTATTTGGCCTTCTGCTCGGCGCTTTCATTTCTGGCATTTACACAGGTACGAAATTCGAACGTTCTTAATTTCTTTCCACAACTTCAGTTTCAAGAAATCTCAAATACAAAAACTCACAATCACAATCACAATAGCAATCCAAAATACAGTCACAAACACAAACTCAAACTCTAATAGACAAAATCAAAATGGAAACAAAGATACCTAAATAATGAGTATTTTCAATTTTTTCTCTAAAACATGCCATCCATTGCTTTTCAGATCGATTCGGAAGAAAAAATTCTTTGCTTGTTTGGCATGTTGTAACAATGGTTTTGCTCTTTATTCATTCTTTGATGCCGGACAAGTGGGGCTTTTTGATTCTCAGGTAATCTTCCTTGATTTCAATCCGCATCTTCAATTATAGAACCCTCAACAACGGAACCCACCATACTTCCTGGCTCGCTTTCGTTGCTTATTCCCTGGAAGTTCTCGGCCCAACGAAACGATCTGTAGCTGGAGCAACCAGTCATGTTTACTACGCAATGGGATACATCATGTTCTCCGGCTTCGGGTATTTCTTTCCGGATTGGCGAGGATTGACTTTTGCAGTCGCCATGGCTCACTTGATCTTCCTCGTTGTCACGCCTTTCTTTCCCGAGTCACCGAGCTTTTTGTACTCAAGAAAATTGGATGAAGAAGCGAGGAAGGTCCTGACCGAGTTTTCCGAGAAAACAAACAAGTCCCTTGACGATGAGTTCCTCAATCATTTGGAAGAAGAGATCCGAAAAGTTGAGGAGAAAAAGGGAGAAGAAGAAGCAGAAGTGAAGAAGTTCACGATTTTGGATTTGCTCAAACACAAAGAAATGCGAAAAGTTGCCCTAATCATGGGTTTTGGCTTCATTTCCACAGTTCTTTCCTACTACGGCTTATCCTTCAATGTATCCAGCATCAGTGGAAATTTGTACTTGAACAATACGATAAATGGAATCATGGAACTGCTGGGGTATTCTTTGGTCACTTTCGCTCTCGATATTGTTGGAAGAAAGTGGTGTTCGGGTGGATTGATGCTTTTTGGAGGAATCGTTTCTGTTGGTTGCGCGATTTTAGCAGAAGTGGGGGAGGATGAGGCAGTCAGATGGCTTTCTTTCGTCGGTTCGTGCGCTTTTTTGACCAAAAATAACCGAAAAATGACCAATTTTTTAGGCAAATTCGCTGTCAGCGGCGCTTTTTGCGCAATCTACGTCTATGCCGGCGAGCTGTACCCAACAGAAGTCCGCTCCACTGGAATTGGTTTCGCCTCAATGACAGGCAGAATCGGCGGTTTCGTCAGCCCTTTCATTATCCAAATAGAAAGTCAATTGGTCATTTATCTCATTTTTGGCATTTTTGGAATCGTCGGCGGCGCGCTCATGTTTCTGCTTCCTGAAGTGAAGGTCGGTCGATTTTTCTTCTGCGGCTTTTTAGATTTTCTTTGTTCTTAGGGTCGGCCGATTTTGCAAACAATCGAAGAGGCGGTAGAATTTTATAAAAATCCGAATAAGATTCAAGCGGCTCAAGAAGTTGTCGATGATAACGAAGGTCTTGAAAGAATTGAAGATCCAACAACGGAAGCTTCTTTTTAAATCTTTATTTTTTTAATAAATTATCTTTTTAATAAAATAATAATAAATTAAGGGTGTCACTTTCCTAATAAAAATTGTTGTTAAAAATGTATATCGAATAATTGGATGGAGCAATTCGAAGCTTTGGGCACTTGGGAGGAGGGTTTATCGCACGGCAGGGCGCCTTCTAAAAGTTGCATTGTCTCGTTTGCCAAATAATTGATAAAGGTTATCGCGCCAGGCACTTACGAGCCCCCCTGTGCCGCCCCATGCCGTCATCGGGCTCGTTAAGCACGTGGCCGCGTTTTTTATCGCTATTTATAGAACAAACCCCCTTAAGACCAATTAACGAATGCTCGAATCGAAGATCTAAGATTTGGAATAATTAGTCTGAACTTTTTTCTAGACAAAAATTTCCACAAGAAATCATAAAAAATCCATGACGAAAATGAACTTGCATGACTGTATATGCCCTACGTTTACTTACAGTATGCGTATTTTAGTGGGATGTTATCAAGCAGCAAAAAAAGGCTTCGAAGTGTCTATCCGGAGCATGTCACTTTGTTTGAGATAAAACGGACCCAGAGCCGCCCGAGATGACGCGCAAAAGTTACGGACCCAGCCCAAAACAAAATTCGAAAAGCGAAATTTTGATTCAATTCAACGCCACAATCCTGTCATCCTTTCCGCAATTTTATAAAGGGCCTTTGGTATTTCCTGCTTTAGAAAAAAAGAGGACTGGCACATCTGTGCTATCGGGACTTTCAAGGGACCAGAGGTCGAAAATAGATTTTTTATCATTTCACACCTTTCTTTTTCTTAGGTATAAAAGTGCGTACCAATTTTGAATATTTCTTAAAATGCAAGAGAACAGTTATAAATCAGTAAAGAGCGCTTGAATGCTGATTACTGTTAATAGCTAATTATGATGAAAAAGAGATTTTGAATTCTTTATTGATTGTCATGGAAAATCAAAGGTAAGGTTTCATCAGCGACTTTTGAAAACAACTAAGTGACTTGATGTTAACCTTATAGAAAATATCCAGATCTCCTGAAAACCGTAGGAAATCAGCGACATCGATAACTATCTGAGCGTTTAAATGCCGACGACAGTTAATTGGTACTAAAAACCATTCGAACTAGATATGATGTACTGGTTTTACTGTACGAACCTAGACTTAAAATGAGATGATCTCATTGAGATCCATTACGTTTTGAAAACTGACATCGTAATTTGGAGTTAAATGTTTAAATTTAGTATCTTGATAAAAGGTAGAATTATGCAGCATAATTTAATGACATCACAAGCATAATTTATGCTTATGCGAATAAGATTCGTTATTTTGATTTTATAAATAAATGAAATGCTTCCTCATATTTGGTTATTTTTAAAGTGAGTTGATAGAGTAATTGATTAAATATAAATGACTTAGTTTTCTGTCAATTTACAAGAATGATGTTTCTTCAAATCTGTTGCTCCTTACTTTTGAGGACATCCTGTCACCTCCTCGAAAAACTGCTCAAGCTTTCCACTTTCTGAAAAATAAATGAATACCGAACTAAGTGTCGGCTGTCCCATTCATTTCGACGTTTTTCATTTTCCAACTTTTTTTTTTCAAGAACTTTTCTTTGCAAAAGAGAGTAGGAAGAAATTGGTTCATTAATTAATCTTTTGGCAATTGGCGCGCTAGAATATTCATTTCGACAGGTTCCATCAGCGCAGTTGCACTTTTTTTCTGGGCAACCGGCGAGCATTTGTAGTACTCGACTACTGAGTAAGAGAGGGAGACTGAAACAGTCAGAGCTACAGTGAAGATAGAACAAAGCCAGATAAAAAAGACGAAAAAATGGCGGTAGAAGCGCCTGGCTCAAGGCCGGAAACAAGAGGAAACGGTCAGAAAGACTCTTTTTCTAGAGAAAAATTGACCATTCTGAAATTTAAATTGGCCTACCGCGGACATCGGATAGGGCTTGAATTTGACCAAAATTTTGGCCAGGATCGTCGTATTTGGTCGATTCGTGCCCCCTCTTCTTCAAAACTAAGATTCAGCCTTTCATTTCATAAAATAAATATGGGTGTCTCTATACAAAGGTAGAAAACGATGGGAAACCTCATTTAAATTGATGTTTTCCCCTTTTTTTGAAAGAAAATTCGCGAAAGATTTTCAAAATTTTTTATCAAAACTTTGGAGGAGCACGATACTAACCACTAAAGAACTCCCTGTCTTTTAAAAGTACAGTAATAGAAGCGCGTACTATCATGCGATCTTGGCGTCGTTATTTCGAGTGCCGTTGTATTGGGTAATTAGAGAGGTGCTTTTGGACAAACAAGGCCGCGCAGTCTAATCGCTCAGCTCGGCTCCGCTAGGAGCCAGCTCAAAACAAAGCCAAAACACGGCGTTTTGAACTGTTTCGTTTTTCAAGCATTTCTTTTATGACCTAATTTAAACAACGCAAAAAAAAAACAAAAAAGCGAAAAAAAAATCATTTTTCCATTTTTTAAAAAATTTCTTTGAAAAAGCGCCTTGTACTTTTCTAAAAAGAAAGTCACGTGATCTCCCCCTTTTCGCCAACTTCCAAAAATAACCATAGAATAGAAAGAGCGTTTCAATTAAATACTTATACGGGCACGAGGGCTCAAGCTCAAGTACCGCGACAGTCTTAGTGGAATAGTAGAGTTGCACCACTACCTGTCTGTTTTTCATCCCGTCTATTGCACAAATGGGGGATGAATAATTTCAGGAGTCAAAATAAAGACGTTTCCGAGGTCGGTTAGGGAGAAAAATAAGGGCGACAAAATGGCATTTCCAGTCGATTAAAAATTAATCAAGTCGGTCTGTCATATGCTTTGTTGAAAAAATAAGGACTTTCCTGAGAAATCAGGATGTTTGTCCCCAGATTTTAATATAAAAATTTAATAAAGTGATACCCTTACTTCAAATATGCGCCGAAAGGCTCATCTATGAATCATAGACTATGATGAATCATCTCGGCTCGGCAACCTGTGTAGAAATCTGAGTCAGGGTCCTGCTTCGCTTCTCTGATGTCTTCACAAGCCTGAGTCAGGTTTCTACACAGGTTGCCGACTTGGTAATGCCGAGCCTAGATGACTCATCCATGATGAGTGTTTGAGCTCTGATTTGAAGTAAGGGTGTCACTTTATTAAATTTGTATATAAAAATCTGGAAAAAATATCCTTTTTCTGGAGGAAGTCCTTATTTTTTAGGCGAAACTTTTTTTCTTATTTATTTTTTTCCGCAAATTGTCGTTTTCAAGCGATTTTTCCAAAAATTTTTTAGTTTTTTGATTTCAAATTTTTTCTGACCATTTTTGAAAGCAAGCGGAGTCGCCTCTCCAAAAAGCTTTCGCACCCTTTTGGTCCTTTCCCACTCCAACCGGCCCGAATTCAACAAATTAAACTCCGTCATCTGCATCTCCTTGTCCCTCGGCGTGTTATTCTTCCTCGCAGGTAAGAAAAAGGCTTCTCGGGTTTATTTTGAAGGAACTGGTGGCGGTGACCCTTCTCGAGAAAATCGGATGGAAAGTCGCCAGGTCGCGGGCTTTGAATTCCAAAAAGAGTTAGAAGGCAACTGACTAAGCCTGTTCAACGTGGACCGACTGAAAAATACGCGGCACAAAACTCTCATTTTCATAAATTTGAAAAATACGAAAAAGGGAATGGGAAAAATCCCAATCAAAATTTCAAATTTCAATCCATTTTACCTTAAAAATTTTATTTTCATTAAAAAAGCCGCTTGCGGCTTTTCAGAAAAATAAAAAAAAAATATTTTTTTTCGAAGCCGCGAAGCGGCTTTTAAAAAGAAGCCGCAGTTTTTTCAAAAGAAAGTCAAAAAAACCGCAATTAAAATTATAACCGCGGCTTTTTCGAATAAAAAAAAGGCGCGGCTTATTTAGTTTCAATTATATTGAAAAAGCCGCACGCAGCTAAATTTTGAGCGTGAATTTCGATGAAAACTATTTGGCTTAATTGCTCCTTGTTCTTGGCCCCTCCTTGAAGATTGAAAGGCCTTCCCCATGTCTCGAAGAATCGCAAGAATCCGAGCAACAAGCAAGATCTAAGAGCGGGTCATCACCACGTTCGGAATTCCACTTTGAATTAAATTCTTTCTCACGAAAAAGCGCGCTTCCACCGCGAGTCACGTGTTCTAGCTATTATCTTCTTTCAGGTCTCATCGGTTTGTTTTGGCTGGAAAAGCTTATGCTTCAGAACCCATACAGGAAGGACTCCATTTTAATTTTAAAGCGCTGGACGGGCAGTATTAGCGCTCTTATCAGTGAGGACCCTAGAGCAGATTGTGTCATTATGGTTTTTGTATTTACTCATTTTCAATTCGATAAACGGCTAAGGGTATCCACAGAGATAAAAAGTAAGAAGGAAAGAACTCTTGAAAGAACTCGTAACTGTGGCGTAAAATAAAGCTTGAAATTTAGCTTGAAATTGTAAGGTTCCTTTAATTTGGAGAATAAAGGGTTATACCCTTATTCTAGAGAAAAATTTTAAGGGTATCACTAACAAAAAAATTTCTTTCAGAAAATCGTTAAAAAAGAATTTCAATAAATATTGAAAACTTCACGGAACCGCGACCGGATTTCGGAAATCTTTTTATTTTGGTGATACCCTTAAGGTTTTTCTTGAAATTGCTTCAAAATCTCATGTATCAAGAAATGGAGTCCTGTCTAAAGCGTTTCTCTCCACAAAAGTATTCCCGTCCCGTCCAAAATTCTGCGCGATTTGAGCCTAATTAAAGGTCAGGCAAGGCTTTTTGAGATTTCAATGTTTCGCGGAATTTCCGGCCACGTTCCGAGCTTTTAGTAAAGCAACTAGATCTCATAATTCTCGGCCTCAAGAAAGAGCCGAATCATGTTCACCTTGGGCTTCGTTTTTGCTTTTATCAGCGTTTCGGAAGGGATAAAAATTTTTTCCTTCATGAATTTTTAACCTATTTGCGCGCCTTCACTAATTTTTTGGCAAATCAAAAAAGGGCAAATCAAAAATTAAG